CACACTCTCAGAAAAAGAACCTTGGTGGATGAGCAAAGTCAGAGCAGTGAGAGCTTTGTCAAAGCCAAAGTAGGTGTCCAGGATTGCACGTCATTTGCTTTGAGAAAGGAGTCAAAGGAAACCAGCAGGGATCAGGGAAAATAATAGAATTTTCAGCTTTAGGGGAAATTAAGATGTCTAATGTGAACTATCAAGTTTTACGTATCTGTCTGTAATTGGATCCAAGCAAGATTCTTCCAAGTAGAACTGAAATTATCTTGCATTGTTTATTTTGCAAAGGTGGCATCACTGTAACTGTCATTTACAAACAGGATGTTCAGTGGGGAGGAGAATTTATTTACTATTGATTTGACCTTGCCTTGCCTTGCCTCTTCTGTCCTTGTCTTGCCTCTCCTGGTCTTTCCTTTGGATAATACAACTCACACTGAGGGTTTTCTTTAACCTTTGCGTTGACAATACAAAACCTCGGCTGACTTAGAATCAGGTTTATGGATGAGTAGCTCTTTCGATGAGTATGTCACTTTTCATAAATAGAGTGGAACTGCATTACTTTTGGGTATGAGGATGTTTATAGAATCACAGAATAGTTAGGGTGGAAAGGACCTTGTGATCATCTAATTCCAACCCCCTGCCATGGGCATGGACACCTCACACTAAACCATCTCACCCAAGGCTCTGTCCAGCCTGGCCTTGAACACTGCCAGGGCAACTTCCTTGGGCAGCCCTTTCCAGTGTCTCACCACCCTTACAGTAAAGAACTTCCTCCTTATATCCAATCTAAACTTCCTCTGTTTCAGTTTTAACCCATTACCCCTTGTCCTATCACTACAGTCCCTAATGAAGAGTCCCTCCCCCGCATCCTTATAGGCCCCCTTCAGATACTGGAAGGCTGCTATGAGGTCTCCACACAGCCTTCTCTTCTCCAGGCTGAACAGTCCCAACTTTCTCAGCCTGTCTTCATACAGGAGGTGCTCCAGTCCCCTCATCATCCTTATGGCCCTCCTCTGGACTTGTTCCAACAGATGCATGTCCTTTTTATGTTGAGAACACCAGAACTGCACACAATACTCCAGGTGAGGTCTCACGAGAGCAGAGTAGAGGGGCAGGATCACCTCCTTCGCCCTGCTGGTCATGCTGCTTTTGGTGCAGCCCAGGATATGGTTGGCTTTCTGGGCTGCGAGCGCACACTGAAGCCGGCTCATGTGAAGTTTCTCATCGACCAACACCCCCAAGTCCTTCTCTGCAGGGCTGCTCTGAATCTCTTCTCTGCTCAGCCTGGAACTGTGCCTGGGATTGCTCCGACCCAGGTGTAGGACCTTGCATTTGGCATGGTTAAACTTCATGAGGTTGGCATCAGCCCACCTCACAAGCATGTCAAGGTCCCTCTGGATGGCATTCCTTCCCTCCAGCGTATCAACCGAACCACACAGCTTGGGGTCATCGGCAAACTTGCTGAGGGCGCACTCAATCCCACTGTCCATGTCAGCAACGAAGATGTTAAACAAGACCAGCCCCAACACAGATCCCTGAGGGACACCACTCATTACAGGTCTCCAGCCGGACATTGAGCCATTGACCACAACCCTTTGCGTGCGGCCATCCAGCCAGTTCTTTATCCACCAAGTGGTCCATTCATCAAATCGATGTCTCTCCAATTTAGATACAAGGATGTCGTGTGGGACAGTGTCAAACGCTTTGCACAAATCCAGGTAGATGACATCAACTGCTCTACCCCTGTCCATCAGTTCTGTAGCCCCATCATAGAAGGCCACCAAATTGGTCAGGCAGGATTTCCCCTTAGTGAACCCATGCTGGCTGTCACCAAGCACCTTGTTGTTTTTCATGTGCCTTAGCATGCCTTCCAGGAGAATCTGCTCCAAGATTTTGCCAGGCAGAGAGGTGAGACTGACTGGTCTGTTGTTGCCTGGGTCATCCGTTTTCCCCTTCTTGAAAATGGGGGTTATATTTCCCTTTTTCCAGTCATTGGGAGCTTTGCCTGACTGCCATGATTTTTAAATATGATGGCCAGTGGCTTAGCAACTTCATTTGCCAGCTCCTTCAGGACCCGTTGATGGATTTCATCAGGTCCCATGGACTTGTGCACATTCAGGTTCTTAAATGGTCTCGAACCAGATCCTCTACTGTGTTTACCAAAGCTGTGATAAAGTTTCCTGTTTAAAATGAGGGTTGGTGATAGGAAGAGGTTATAGTTTCAAGGGCAAGTGCAGAAGCATTCAACTGGTTAAAATGTGTCACTGAAAGTTTATCTGCTAGGATGGGTGTTCAGATCTGTTAGTCATTACTGATTGCCATTCCTCAAAAATTCCAGCTGGAGTTTTGCTTAAAAAGATTTTTTATTTTTCATGGAGCCCATCTCAGCTATATCAGCTTTGATAATTACAAGGTTATTAAAATTGCCACCAAATCAAAAGGAAAAGTTTTTAAATAAATTTAGGAAATGTGTGGTATTTCGATAGATAGAATGTTGCTGGTGAAAGCAGTTTTGAAATATACTGTATTATATTCAGACTGATTTTTCTTAAGTAATTTAGCACAATGGGGTGTGTTTCTGAGACTACTATCCACTAATGCTGTCCAGGCTTTTTCCCACCAAGATTCATGCCTGATTTCAAAATATGTAACTGAGTCTCTTCAGCCTGGGATCCAAATCTTTATACTCATATTAAAAAGATTCAACACCATGGGTCTAGTTTCAACTTGTTTTAGGGGAAATACAATAACAGTCATTTTACCTTTCTCTTTCTTTCCCCTCATACACACACACACTCATATTCTTAGACTTTTTTCTGTAATTATCTTTCTTTCCCCTTGCTCTGCTCCCACAAATCATATCTTAGTGTTTGTATTAAAATTGTGCTGGAATATTGCATGTTATATTAGTAAAAATAATTAATAATTAAATACACCACTAAGTTATTGAGATAGAAGATAGTTATGTCAGGATATCTGTATCCCATTAGAACTGGAATTTTGTTTCTGCTCGATTTGGCTTGCATTCAGTATCCTCTGCTTTTGAAAGAATGAGCAACCCAAGTATATTCCTACGCTTATGAATAAAGCCATACTGTAGACTGCACATGACTAAATCCAGGCATTCATTTGTATTGTCATCAAAGGACATTTTTATTCTATGCCCACAAATGTTCTTGGTAATCTATGAAAGAGGCTTCTGAGTTAGCAAATGAAAATAGGCATCTTTCTCACCCTTTTCCTTGGCAGAAGTACATGACCAGTGTTCAGCAGCAGTCACCAGTGAACCCATGTAAAGGCTTGTTAAGTCTTTGATTGGCCCACTTGTACTTGTGCCATATGACATGACCTTTAATTACACAAATACTACTTTTCCACCAGGCATTTGCCTCATTCATTGCATAAAATTGATGAGAGTGAGCTGAGAATTGAATTAGGTTGGGCAATAAAGGGAGATTAGTGATTAGGGCTATCTCAGATTAGTAAAACGAGGACACCACTGCAGTTTGATGAGCAATCTTGCCACCTTTTATCTTTCAAGCCAGAGAGACAACTAGCTACCTCACAGGTTTGTTTGCAGCCATAGAAATTTGAGAGCATGAGCAGAGGCACTGATTGGTCTGCCTAAGCCAGTGTCCTGTCTCTGACAGCAGTCAAAAGTGGTTGCATATGAGCAACTTTAAGAGCAAGACAATACTACCTGCAGGTACTCTCCCAGCTGCCATGCTTTTGTGGCTCAGGGATTTCCTAATCTGGAGGGGTCTTTGATGTGCTAAACCTCAGTTGATTTTTCATCACCAGTATCCTGTTGAGCCCTTTAAAGTCCATTTAATTTTTTGCCACATGCTGCCTTCTGTGGCACAACTCATAGCTCACTTCCCCTTGCTTGCTTCAAGCCTGCCATGTGCTGGCTTTCTGTGAATGGTCCAGACAATGAGACCGTAGTCCATTCTCATTGTGCAACTCATGCATAAGTCTTACATTCTTTCAAAAAAGAAGGATGCTAAGCAGACACCAGAGGATGCAACATGGGTCCCAGAAAGCTGGTAATATGCCCAGAAAGCAGCCAGCCTTCACTTCTGCTGTTATTCATGGTAGCTTGGACTCTCTGCCTATGCAATAGTCAGATATAGACATACCCTGTAGTATTTCTGCTTCAGTGGCTCTTGGGAACAAAAAGACTGCTGATGGCTGAAACAGAAGATTTCAGGAAGTGTATGCGTGGTGTTTTGGCCAAGTTGAATGCTGCTGCAGACAACAGGATTTTCTCTCTGATGCAGCCACAGAATTTCCGTGTGAGATGCTGAATTAGTCCAATATATGAGACTTTTCCCAGATGGCTATTAATTATGTGTTTGAAATCATACGGTTTGATTTACAGAAGTGCTGATCACTCACAGCTGCAGTTGATGTCATTGAGAGCTGTACTTTGAACATGCAAAGTACTGATTAATGCCAAGTTCCCTGAAAAATCAGACCCTTCACGTCTTGCATCGGTCACTGCAATCTACAGATGCTTTTGACCTGAATTCCTGTGTGTTCTGTTTTCCCTGTTTGTTACAGAGGACTGGTACCTCCCTGATTCGCCAGAGTGTTAGATTCTAAGTCCTCAGGCACTACCACAAAAAGCATCACAGTGCATCCCACTCAAGTTGTAACTGTGTAATTCGGAGAGGGTTTCCATTCTGCGTGGTGTATCTCAAGCAAAATGACATAACAAGGTACAGCACAAATACCTACCCATTCCACTGCCATTGGCTATTCTGGGGACTGATCTCACCAAAAAAAATATCTAACATATACTGATCATATAACAGGCAGCTTTTGCTGTTTAGTAGAGGAGAAAATTATATTCCTACGTAGCTTTAGTACTGGCATCTCCTGTTTTTCCTGTATTTTCCCAGCACTTGTGGTTATTGAGACAGCATGCTTGAAGTATCAGGTCAGCCTAAACTGACTTGCAGTTTGAAATTCTTGTAAAGTATTTTTGTTTGCATTTTGCCTTCCAGAAAATACTTGCAACAACAAACGCCTGGACCTGGTCTTCATCATTGACAGCTCTCGCAGTGTACATCACTATGACTTTGAAAAAGTGAAGGAGTTCATTTTAACCATCTTGCAGTTTCTGGACATCAGCCCTGATGCCACCCGTGTAGGCCTGATTCAGTACGGCAGCACAGTCAAACAGGAGTTTTCACTGAAGACATTCAGGAGGAAACAGGATATTGAAAGAGCAGTGAGGAGAATGATGCACCTGGCAACTGGCACCATGACTGGACTGGCCATTCAGTATGCAGTGAACATTGCGTTTTCAGAGTCAGAAGGAGCTCGACCTCTGAAGCAGAATGTGCCCCGAATTATCATGATTGTGACGGATGGGAGACCACAGGATCCAGTGGCAGAGATTGCTGCTAAAGCACGCAACTCAGGAATCTTGATTTTTGCCATTGGAGTGGGAAGAGTAGATATGAACACGCTGAAGTCTATTGGCAGTGAACCACATGAAGAGCATGTGTTTCTGGTTGCTAATTTCAGTCAGATTGAAACACTGACATCTGCATTCCAGACTAAACTTTGTGGTAAGGATTTTATCTATAGTTTTGAATACAGAAATGAAAGTAAAATATGGAAAAAAATATGCATTATAACTAAGCTTTTTTTTTTTTTACATGAAGTCTTTTCTGTTAGAATTTACTGTCTAGGCAACATTTAGGACAGCAGTTATATATATGGGGAAAAAAACTAATCCGACCGCTGTGTGCCATAAAATGTGATCTAATTCCTAGTGGCCATAAGTAGTGGGGCAAACCCACGTATCATGGTTTTCCTGTTCATTGCATGGTAGCAATAAATTTACAACCCTCTGCTATTTGAATATTAGGTAAGTTGTTTCATCTATTGATTTTAAATGTGACCTTTCTTAGTACTAAAACTTCAAATTGATGGATGGTCTTTTGGTTATTTAAATACATCTCTGGAGTGCATGGATTCCTCTTCCAGAGCTTACATATTAATTCTATGCAAACAATTACCTCTGCACGTGCCTAGTGACTGGAAGTGAGACACAGAGACATGGTAGTGGTTCTATTCTATCCATTTTAAATATGGAAAATAAGGAAAAGGCATTACAGTGATACCATTTATTCACACAATAAAGTAAATATTTTAATAGGTACTAATTTACAACACAGAAATCACTTCCATCTGTAATCTCCTGATAAGAAATTATCTTTCACAAATACCATGGAATATGTAATTAATTTTATTCCAATCTGAGCACTTAATATAGCTTTTTGTTTATTTCTGAGGCAAATTTGAAAGATCTTCATACAGATTTGGCATTAAGTTGAGGCATTTTCAGCAGAGTCCAGGAAAAGAATGCCTGGTGGGACTGAATGCTCACTCATCTCTGGGGATGGTTTTGCCAGAAAAGAACTGAGACTTATTGTCAGGATAGTCTGGAGAATTTTCCTTACTTGGACTTTTCCAAAATTGTTTCAGGCTAACAGGGCTCCAGCTGAACTGCATCAGCACAAAACTCCATCACAGACATTCATCAGATAATAGATTTTTTTCCTGTTTGTTCTTTGCTGTATAATTAGCTGGCATAGTAAGATACATTTAAGAACCAAGAAAGAGTAAACTAAACACGGATTGAGAGTTGAAATGGAATGAACAGCAGATGCTTCAGAACTTCATCTTACTGAATTTTTAAATTGTATTTTAGAAATAAATCCAGCGCAAATACAACTTACTCATTTTTTCTTTTCAGATTAGGCAGTGCCCAGTAAATGTATTAGAGTTTTATAACTCACTTTCAATCCAAACACATGTGATCCTCAATAAAAGTACCCCCCTACAGATGAAGGAGTATGGAGGTGACAAAGTTTGCTGCTGCCTCCTACTGGCAGGTAGTGCCTCCGCTACATTTGCTGTGTCAGGAGTTGAAAGTGAGATTCAAAACCGCGCTTGACCCAGGCCCAGACGCAACAGAGAATTTAAGTTCTTAGATTTTTATGGATTTCAGGTTAAGGGACTAAATTGCAGATAGGATCCTTAATATTTTATTGAGTCTGGGCTGTGAAGCAGCCTTCAGCTTGCTGAATTTCAAAAGAGCAATCTAAAAATCCATAGCCTCTGCTTCCTAGAGCACCTACATTCCTCCTGGGAAATGTGGTTAGTTTTATTAAGTCCTCCCCAGTGTGGACCCAGAGGCAATATCATTGTAGTCAAACATCTGGACACCTTGTTTCTTTGCTAGAGCTATTGAATACAACACTCTTGTCAAGTCTTCTGGCATGCAGTCTGCTGCACTTCATGCTGGGGGAAAAGACCGTGGCACTTGAGCTTTCCTTATGTCTGGATTGCCCTTATGCCCATGGAATGTGTCTTCGTGGTTCCTGTGAAGATTCCAGGTTTCTGGCCAACTGATGAAGCTCTATGGGAAAAATAAAAAGCAGACCAAGTTAACTACTGCTTACCGATGCATGGCAGAGATCACCCAGTGCCTATCAGCTATATTCTCAGAAGAATACAAATAAATTGTCTGTGCCCCATCCTCTGCTAAGTCAGACTTTCCCTACAGTTGCTGCGTCTGGCTGCTAAAGATGTAGGGGTGTCAGAAACAACAGTTGAAGAAAAACTTGGGAGTTTTTCTTCAAAAGTTGGGAAACCAGCAGCCTATTTTAATTAGCAGTCAACAAAGTAAAAAAGAGAAGCAAACAGTATCCTGGGAAATCAGAAGCATGAGGAGTGAGATGAGAGTGGAAAACTCAAAAGAAGATAAACTGAAATGGGGATGGATCAGTCAGGAGCATATGAAGTCTCAAATATTCTCCTGTAAAATGGTGTCATCCCCATTTTACATTGGAGGAACACCATTGCAGCTGAGAGAGCCCTGCTTTCTTGCAAATTCAGATACAGGTGTACCTATGTGAACACATGAATCTCACACTGAATCTATGAAGGTTGATGCTTGCTTGAAGATGTTAATATTATTGTCTTGCTCAAAATCAAATAAGGATCCTGTGACATAGGCAGGGCTAAAATCTGATTCACAAGGCTCGCATTCAAATTCTTCAGCTATGAGATCACCCTTTCTAATACTGCTGTCTACTGCTGAGTCCTCCTGCAACAAATGAGGTTGCACAAATGACACAAACTGATGACCAGAGTATCACTGATTCTTCGAAATGGGTGCAACAGAGACACTTTGGAAAAAATCTATGGTAATATATCAGAAAACTGGTAACAGATGGTAACTGAATTCTCAGAAGGGACTGAGTGATTAGGATGCCTATTATTGAATGCTTCTATTTTCCCTTTTCATTTCCTAGTACTCTGTTTTGCAACCTTATGTTCTTTTGTTATGGGAGGACTGACTTTGCAGTAATGTTCTATAATTTACACTCTATAGCTTTAGCACACGGTGAGATGCTTAAACTACTGAAATGAATATATTTTTCATTTGTCATATTTGAAAGTGCTTCTTTGGTCATAAAAAGCCATACCTGATGTTGAAAGCTGGTGACATATAGCCAGGAAGAAACGTCTGCTTAGGGAGTATCCTCTAATAAACTTCATTTTCAGAATGGCAGAAAGATGAAAAGAGAAGTCCAAGCAGGTCTGTATTCACATAAATAGAAGTACTTTATTATGGCAGAAAATCATGAGATCCAAAAAGCTGATTAAGAAATGGTGGTTTGTGTATTTGTACACATAGCTCTGTTAACCATCCCAAAGACCACATACTTGGTATGTATCTTAAAACCACTTTTTTTTTTTTTCACCCCCACAAGTATCACACATACCACATGTTATCAGGCTTCTGTTGTGGCTCCTGGAAGATTTCTGTTAATGTCTATTCCATAAATTTTGAGCTTTGTTGACCTAGCAGAATAAGGAGCACATCAATCCGTAATCGTGTTCCCTGTGAAGTCATTCACCTATATTACAGCAATGCTCCTGTGAGAAGAATAAAATCCAGAAGATTTCTTAGTTCCCAACTACTGAAAAGAAAATAGTTCAGCAATGAATTTGTCAGAATTCTTTTTCTTTTTTGCCATCTCGATCTGTTGCTTTTTATTACATGCTGTTTGAGACAAAAAATGCAAACATTAAAATTAGACTCTAGAGTGTAGCTCAGCTCAGCTCCCATTTACTGGAGCTTGGAGGTGCATGACTTCAGTGTCGCCATATATTGCTTGTATGTTTCTCAGCATTAATAATTAAGCAAGTTGTTTGATGATTTGTCATCATGTTGTTTTCTAGTTATTCTTCTTTGGTATTGTGCTGTGTGGTGATTTTCTTCATTCAAGATACTGAATGTCCACTAGAACAGTTTGTACTTAAATTCTACTTATTTTCTACATTTGAATGTGGTAGGTTTGTTTCATTGTTTTCTTGGGACCAGCAAGTAATTATTCTTTCCAGATACTCTACTGTATATTTTTATTTTGTTTATATCCCCATTTTACATGAAATTTGATGCCCAAAAGCATGTCACCAATGTCAGCCAGACAGAAAATATCTAACTTCATAGTGGGGTTTTTTTAGAAATTAATATATAGTATTGTTTGTTAAGGATTTTTTTTGTAATCTTATAGGGTTAAGCTTCCATTTTTGTTTTTACTGTCAACTCTTAGTTTGAAACTTACGAATTGCTTCAGTAAAATCTTCTATACTTTTTATTTATTTTGGTTGTGACCACAAGTAAGACCAGCAGTTAATAACATTTTACTTTTTTTTCTTTCAGTGCCCCATATGTGCAGTATAGTTGAACATCAGTGTGATCACTTCTGCATAAACACCCCAGGCTCCTACCTCTGCAGATGTAAACAAGGATACATTCTGAATGCTGACCAGAAGACTTGCAGCAGTATGTTATCTTTCTTAACTTTTCTCTTTCATGCTCTGAAAAAGTGCTTTTAATATCACCTATCCTTTAGGGACTGAGCTCAGTATATAATTAATGGTAATCATAAGAAAGAGTCTAAAAGGGTGAAATTTTAATTCTTTTTCTTGTCTTGGATCATTGAATTTCTTACAAACCTTTCTGAAATGCATCTAGCTAATTTTTATAAACAGCTCTTCAGAGGTACACTGAAACTGCATAAAATTACGTTTGAATTCTATTGATGTAGTAGGTTCAACAGTGAAGCAATAATCGAAGACAGAACTGTTTTTATCATCTTGCATGAGGTGAATCTAACTACTTTAGTAACTTGTCTAGGTAGCAGCCAGTGCTAAATAGTACAGAAAGGTGCAATAAACCCCATATTAGAGATCTGTGAAAAAAATTGCCATTCTGAAAAGCTCTTTCTAACTGCTGTTTGGAGCATAAGGATTTGCAACAATTCAAAGAATAGTTTAAAAAGCCTTGTTTATGCTTTCATTTCCTTCTTTAAAAGGGTTGATTTTTTTCAGTTTTAAATATTTAGCTTTATAGTTTATAATAATAAACTTTTTTCACTCTTTGTAGCAGTATTTCTTTTTTTCAGTTTGACTTGCTTCCTAGTAATTAACAGCAGATTACATTAGATGGGTATTCCTCATTTATTTCTGTATCCACCGTTATTTTGAAGAAATCATGTAATACTATTTTTAATTACTTGTGGAAGATGTACTTGCTACAAATGCAGTTTCTTATCCCATGACAGTGCATGGATTCAAGTGAAATTTGACAAACTGATTTTAGCCAGAAGAAAAATTTTGGAAGACATCTTTCAAAACACTGGAGGAGACAGTCATGGTGAGAGCATAGGACATACCCTTCACAACTGATAATTTAGAGTTAAGGTGAAGGATGAAGGCTCAAATCCTGTCCCTGTGTCTGAACTCTCATATTCCACATCTCAGGAGAGTGCTGTAAAACAATCAGATTATTTTGGGATTAGCAGGTTCTTACTCACTTTTGCTTAGTGTTGTATTCTATATCAGATGCTTAATGACCACTGAAACAGTGAGTATGTCAGTATCTGAGGTGACTCTGCAACTTGGGGATTAAAGTCCTTACATGTGCAGTGGGAGACTTCCTGTGATGTCAAGCTACCGGTTGCATTACTTTTAGGAATCTTTACTTTCTAGTCCTTCTCAGCAGCATCCTTCACCAAATGTAGACATTTGTTGTATGCATGTACGTAAATTACAAGGGAATGTTTCGGATAGATGGAACAAATTAAACATTTTCTTTGTGGTTTGGTTTTGGGGTTTTTTCCCCCTCAAAAAGACACAAAAAATTTTCCCTTCAAAAGGACATTTCAATCCAATCCGGAATATTTCCTAACTATTATGTAGTTTAGCAGCTCTGCCAAGACAAGAATAGTGACAAGAACAATTTTTCACACAGCCTGTTTTCTCTGCTTCCGCATATTTTCTATAGCTTTTCAGAAAGAGGGTGGTCAGAATCCCAAACGATTGCTCCGACTATGTAATCACATTTCAGTAATGTTCTCTAACTTGTTCTTTTCATTGTGTCCTTCTTAAAATGCTTCTAATTTAAAAATTTCGTATTCTTTGAATCTTTCTTTTAAACCCTACTCATGCTATGGCGTTTATTAAAGAATTTCTTAGAAGGGATTCTTTTGCTTTTGCCTTTCTAGAAATTATTTGAAATCCAGAATTTCTTTTTAATTTCCTCTCACACGTTGTCCCCATCCTTATGCCTAACATCAATTTTGACTGTTGAATTTTTTTTTGTGAGTCAATTAGAAAAAAATTTAATTACAAGTATGAAAAGTTCCTTCTTTATTGTGTCACCTTTCTTGTTGTGTTACATTTCCATACTTTTTATCAGCCAGTAGTTCAGCTTTTGAGTACTGACCTGCTTCAAATTACAGGTTAATTACAAAGAGAGTTCTGGACTTGTGTGTAGTTTTCCTCCTGGTGACACAGTAGCACAAGCGCACAGTAGCCCTCAGTCTGGTCCCTTTCCACCACTTTTCAAAGCACATTGCTGCATTGCTTTACTTTTTTTTTTTTTTTTTTAGCTATGACTCCATCTAATATTATTTTTCCCCACTTACCTGTCACACATGGTTTGCTTGACTGTGTACTTGCTTTGATCTCCAATCAGATGATACTAGATTGCAGTTTGCTGAATATGAAAAGGAAACGAGTCATTCAGTGTGTTTGTAGCCTCCTTCTAATGGACTTCTTTCTACATTACCAAACTATGCAACAATTTTAACAATTAGCACTGGAAATCTAATATTGAGAGCCATCAAACTGGCCTTAAATGTGTTAGGATGGTACAAATCTTTGGTGAAAGAGGATTTGTGTCTAAAAACTTCCCTGAGAAGTAATGGAATTCATGAGGAAAGGGGACCAAGCCTGGACAAACTGATCAGCTTATTTCTGGAGGTAAGGAGAAGCATGGTGAGCAAAATCTCCACAGTCTGTGGCCATTTTAGTTACCCTCACTGGCTGCTGATTAAACAGGGTATATTTATCTAAGGCTTGGATGTCTTTGTACCTCTTTTATGATCAAATATTTTCTTTATGTATATATTTTAACACTTTCTAAATTAAACAGTGCAGAAAAGATGACAGGAAAGTACCTATACTCTGTTTTCAGTCTTCTATTCACTTTTTTTTTTTTAACATTGTGAGGGTACACCATATTAGTATTCAGTTCTTAAAAACCCTTAACCAAATGGCTTCAATCACCAAAGAACTGACAACTTAGTTTTAGGTAGGAAAAAGGTACCTTTGTCTTTGAACAGATGGTAGTTCAGTTCCTTGGTACATTTCATTATATCATTATTTCTAAAAAAGTTTTTCCATGCATTGAAGAAAGAAAATCTGCCATACCTGTGATTTGTTGGAACATTCTTACATTTATGTCATGAAGATGTTTTGCATCCATGCAAAGGATGGTTCTTTCACATACTCTGGTGTAACTTCTAGAGAAGAGTGGTTATGTCAGATAATAGCTATTCTTTATTCATTACACCGCATTTGTTTAACTTAATCTCTTCCATTCTTCTCTAGAGATGTTCAAATCTTACATTAATACACAAAACGGTACTAAAAAGGAAATGGAGCTGAAACAAGCTGAAAAATTATCTATTTGTAGGTGTTTATACTGGAACAAGAGAGTTAAACGACTGTTTATGCTGTTCATCATGCTGCTTGATACGAAGCAGACAGCTATAAAAGAAAATTCACGTTTGCTTGGCTAGTTTCCTAAACATGTTCCAAAAGCCTTTTTGTAACTGTAAAAGACCACTATGTGTTGAGCAGTCCTGATCCTGAGTAGCACAAAGTACTCTGCTTTCCAAAGATTTCACTGGGGAAACTTAGAGTTCCCAGAAAGCTTTAGTCTACTGAAAAGAAAGCCCAATGTGCTTCATTTGGCCAGATGCTGAACTGACCTCATTTGTCATGGTAATTTTTCTAACGAGATCTTCTGCTTGGGAGGGGTAACTTGCTATGGTATTTTACAGAAAATTGAAGAATTATAAAAGAAATTAAATACCCCTGGGTTTTTTGGTGTTGTTTTTTCCTTTCCTTTGCAACCTTGTCATCATTTCTCTAGGAGGGTTATGCAAAAACAGAATTAAAAAAAAAATACAATTAAACACTATTATTTTTTCCCCTAAAAGCCCTGAAGAATGCCCTTCAGACTTTTAGAGAGACATACAGTCAAGCAACTCTGCTAAGCACCACTGGTCCATCAATAGTTGTGCCTTCAGCTGAAGGAATGAGCTCCTTGGCTTGGAGTGATTGTTCCTGCTGGCAGAAGACTTTCACTGTGTGACAGAACATTGGCATGTTCTGTGTTAAAATGAGCTCATATCTAAAGAGCTGTTCATAGCTTCCTGAAATTTAGCTTTGATTTATAGTCTGCATGTATGTTATAAAAAGTCAAAGAATTTCATACTCATGCAATTATGTTTTGTAGCTCAGGACCTTTGTGCTGTGGAGAAACATGCCTGTGAGCAGATTTGTGTGAACACACCTGGGTCTTACGTCTGTCAGTGTTATGAAGGCTATGAGCTTGATGCAGATGGAAAGAATTGTATTGGTGAGTATAAGTTTAGCAATTCACATTTATTTCTTGACACAAACCAAAGGGAAATTCAATAAAAATCAATACCCAGTTTAGCCACAGACATAGATGTTGATGGGAAGCCTCTTCTCTGTGAGTGGTAGATAAGGATGAATGTATATTGGCATGTTTGTAGGCCTATACTGATAATGAGTGGTGGCTTGGGGAAATGGTTCCAACTAATTTCACACAGAAAGTAACATTGGTGTTTTGAAATAACACACCAGATGTTTTATTCTAGATCCATGTAGGTGGCCAGCAATGTACTGGCATGATGTATGTGGCCATTAAAAAACACAAACTCAGCAACTCCTTTTCAGACAGAACTTACATATGAAAAAACTTGGAAGTAGACAGTTTCTTGCCAATTCCTATTTGGTTTTGTGGTCATGCCAGGAGAGATTTCAAACTCTTTTTGGGAAGATCACTTTAAGCAAAGTTTAGCCCCCCCTTAAAAACCCATCCACTATGGGCCTTTCATTTTTGCTATGGGCAGTAAAGAAGCAAACATCAGCTCTAAGAAATACAACTCAAAATAGTGAGTGTGGAAATACATTATAATAATTGTTTAACACAAAACTTACTTTCTTCTTTATTACTATATAAGTATCTCACACTTCTTCCCCATTTAAACACAGTAAATACTTTTGGTATAATCTTCTTGGCAAGTCCATTAGCCTCCTCATAAGCTTTTCATCCCATGCTAGATTTTGGGAAAATATTTGTAAGCTAAACAATGTTTGAAACTGTCTGCTCAGTGATAAGCATGGCTGGCAGAGCTGTTTGCCTTTTTAAACAGCTCTTCATTTTAACTGCCCTCCTTCCGTGTGAACAAAATCCTGCCAGTTAAGGTTTGGTGCTAATAAGCCATTCTTTCTCCATCATGCTGCTGCACACTGTCTCACCACCTTCTTGGTGTTGCTGGACATGCTGACCTCTTTTTCCTGGCACTGGTGCTAGACTGTCTCCATATTACTGCAGCTGTTGGGCTTTGGATCTCTTCTCCTGACAGGTTGCTGGCACCTCTCTGCAGTCCTGGCACCACTAGATTTTTTTTTGGCTGCTTTCTCGGTTCTTAAAAGTCCTCCATAACTGCTCTACTCTTCCTCCACATCTCTTTTCATCCTCCTTATGCCTTTACTTATTCTGTCACCTTTTCTTTCTACCCTTTTCTTCTACCCTTCTCCTTAGCTTTCTTTGTTCTCCTAAGCCTGAATAACCTATATAAATATCACAGGAGTAAAACAGCAATGTAAGAGAAAGGTGACCCATGCTGTCCAGAGTTCAGAGAGGGCAATGTAAGCACCCAGAATGCAGAACTGGTAACTGGAAGTAAAAGATGGCTCTCATCATTTAAGAAAAATAGGGTGGAAGAAACATGGGGAGATATATCCAATCTAAATTTCCCTGGTTAAAACTTACACAGGGGAAGTTTAGATTGGATAAAAGGAAGAAATTCTTTCCTGTTAGGGTGGTGAGGCACTGGAATAGGTTGTCCAGGGAGGTTGTGAATGCTCCATCCCTGGCAGAGTTCAAGGCAAGATTGGTCTCTCAGTGAGATGGTTTAGTGTGAGGTGTTCCTGGCCATGGCAGGGGGGTTGGAACTAGGTGATCTTAAGGTCCTTTCCAACCCTAACTATTCTATGATTCTATTCTATGACAACTGAATTAAATGCTTGTTTATGAAAAAGGTCAGTAATTCATCCTTTAGAAAAATTTCTTATTGAAATAGGCATGGACCATTAAAAACAGTGAGATCTCTACATGTTCATATTCTACTGTATGTCTCATGACTCAGTACAGAAATACAAAAATAATAAATTAGTAAATTATTATTCTGCTTTGCTCTTATACAAACTGTGTATATTTTGTGCATACCAACTAAAGGATTACAGTACTTTAATATAAAAAATATATATTTATAATTTTTCTCAGTCTTTTCAGGAAGATTTAACTCCATGGACAACTTACCTGCTTGCTGACTGGAATGCTGTTGACAATTTCCCTTCTAAGCAAGTACCATGGAAATTAAATATAAAAGGGAAATGAATTTGTAGGCCAATTAATAGTGCCAGTCTGCAAGGCTAACCCTGCCTGAAAGTAGGGCAATTTGTATACAAAAATTACTGCAAGAGGGAATACTTAGCTCAAAAAGCAACTGTCAAGCTAATGTTCTCACTTCTTAATTGTGTTACTGGAAAGGCATTATTTAAATTGATATGCTCATTATTCTTACAGTCCAACAGATCTACTTTTATGACTCTCTAAAGGTTATAAATAAATAGGAAAAGAAAGCCTGGAAAAATTAGTTACCTATTTTGATGTTGGGCTTGGTTTTTTTTTTCCCTTTCTGTCCACAGCACATTAGCAGCTATATAGCCATAAGAAGGCACAGTTCCTCTCTCCAGAGATTGTAATCTGAGAGTGCTTAGGTTCACAGTTGCTCATATGTTGATAATAAAGCATTCTAAGGCCTATCTCAAACAACAAAGGTGGTGAAAAGGCTTGACAGAGCAGATGTCAACTTTCGGCTTATGTAGTTTCGGGGAAATGGAGGCTGAGGGGTGACCTCATTGCTGTCCACAGCTTCCTGAGGAAGGGAAGTGAAAAGGGAGGTGCTGAGCTCTTCTCTGTGCTGTCCAGGGATAGAACACATGGGAATGGCAGCGGGGTTGGACTAGATGATCTTCTGAGGTCCCTTCCAACCCTTGGGATTCTGTGATTCTGTGAAAGCTGAGCCAGGGGAGGTTTAGATTGCATATTAGGAAGCATTTCTTTACAAAGAATGTGGTCAAATACAGGAATAGGCTTCCTAGAGAGATGGTTGATACCCCAAAACTGTCAGTATTTAAGAGGCATTTGAACAATGCCTTTAATGACATCCTTTAACACTTGGTCAGCCCTAAATTGTCAGGCAGTTTTACTAAACAATCATTCTACTGCATGTTCCAGCTGTTCTATCCTATCTTACCCTATACCATCCCATTCCATTCCATTTCAGTCTGTTACAGTCTAGACTAAACTTTATAATCATTGTCAGGCAGTTGCAGGTATTGTGGTAGAAATGCATTTTGTTTGAGTTTAAATGCAGAGGAGGAGGTGACTTTATGTAGCAATCCATATGGGCTGCTTCCCAGCTATGATGCAAGATAGAAAAAATTATATATTCTTTGGCCTACTTATTTCTTAATGTGTCTTTTAAAAAACTTGTAAATGTGCATGTGGTCAGAATTAATTTAAGAGGAAAACTGAGTAATTGTATGACACATTATATCCTTGAAATATATATTCAATAAATATGTTTTTATATTAAGCTATTCAGTCTGGAAACAGGAAGGCGCTTGCCAGGAAAATGGTCTCACACAGTAGCCCATAACAGGTCTAATTTGACTTGATTCAGCACAATTTTGAAGGGTTAAAAGAAGCTCTTTTAAAGTAGCTAAGTGGATTATCTGCTTTCCTGAATAGATGACCTTGACCAAATATCTTAGCACACCTGAGTACACTCATGGCTTGCAAAGGCAGGGCTACTGAAGAAGGAACTGATTTCATTAAAACAAATTACTGCCTCTTAATTCAGGAGGCTCAGCAGTATAAAGTAATGAAAAAATTACTCAGTTGGCAGGGAAGGGAGCCTGCCTCATTAAATGTCTGTGTGAAGCTGACCACATTACTGTTTTCTGCAGAGAATCAGGTAAACTTACCTAATGTGGGACTGGCAGCTCTATGGGGACTGAACACCTGCTTTGTGACTAATCTAATTTCTTCTCAGATTTTCTTTGTGATGAAACAGCTTAACCTGCAAAGAGAAGTTAAATGTTCTGGGTGGGTTTTTTTTCTAGCACTTTTTAATGGGCTTTTCTGAGTAAACTCAAAAGCATTACCTTACTACCCTTTGGCAATCTATCTTGTAAATACAGGTTTGTGCAATAAATGACCAGGTTTATGAAATAAGGGACCAGACTACCTATGATATTTTACTTCTCTAATACAAAAAGCATTATATAAGCAAAATATCAGTGTTGAATACCAGCCAGAAGCTCTCAGGCTTCACAGCTGCTTTGTATAGGACAAATCTAGAGCATATTAGGGGGAATAAGTGTACCATGACAGGCCTCATTGTAGAAGGTATTGCCATGGGCCTGCTATATACTTAGGGTATGGGAACAGCTCTTGAGAAGTAATACAGAGGGAACTGAGGAAAAGTAGAGTAATTCCAGGACTGGGACTGGAGAGACAGAATGCAAAACTAAATAAATTAAACTTTGCTATGCCCTGGTGTACAGTGTGAACACCTGGACAAAGTTACTGGCTTTAAAAGTTTCTGAGTTTCCAGATCTGAGAAAACATGTTGAGAAGGCTCCTGATAATCTGAGAGTTGATAGATGTTCAATGGATAGGAGAAATGATCCAGGACTCGTATCAAATCTGATTTACCAATTGGTACTGAAAGTGCACTAATTTTTTTTCAGAAAGGCTCTTCAAGACAGAAATTATACCAGATTTTCCTTTTTTTTTTTTTAATAGATACTGTGTGTAACATATACCACAATATCTATGCATAATAGTTCTAATTATGTTTTTCTAATTGTACCTGTTGGTCTTGTTCTTTTTCAGTTGTAGATTTCTGTGCTTTGGATAATCAAGGTTGCCAGCATGAATGTGTTAACACTGAGGACTCCTATTACTGTAGATGCCATCCAGGGTACATTTTAAATCCAGACAAAAGAACTTGCAGAAGTAAGTTGTGATAAAGTTTAATTATGAACAGTTCATACTACTTCTGTCATCTTCTCAGCTATAACACTCCTATTGATCCTTTGAAAAGTGGATAATGCATCAGGTATAGAAAATGGCATGCCCTGTAAGCCAAAGGTCTTGAAAGCATTGCAAGTTATTTTGGGGGGTAGGTTTTTTTTGGGGGGAGGCTAAGGATAGGGGTCCCTTCTATGAGGAGGAAGCTTTTAAAATGAAAATGGGCTCCTTTACAACAATGAAAACCCAAAAGTTTGTCCTACATAGTCTTTTTGATTATCCAGACTTTTCAGTTAGTATGTCATCTCCCTAGCAGGGTAAACAAGCCTGTACAAGAGAATTTATAATCGGCTTGGTTTGTAATACAAGCTAAAATTAAATAGAGCAATTCCACAATCAGAGAACACAAACATTGCAGCCTATTTTCCCACGGATTTTTCTCAAGAGTGAGTTTTTTGATAGTGAGCTAAAGTTCTGGCAACCTTAGTATCTTCTACCAAGCTTCCATGTTTCCATCAGGTTATAATAACTTCATGACTTTGCTTGCTTGTTGATTGTCAAATTTGATTGATAGCAGGCTAACATGCTCAAAAATTACCAGAGTTAGGAGTGGATATAAAGTGGAGGGGACTGACAGACCTGAAAGTACTCTTGCCAAAGCTTCCTGTAATTGGCAACACAAACTAAAAGCTCTACAATGTTTAATGTCATAACTGACTTTCAGGAATGTGAAGCAAAACCCATAATACGCCTTCCTAGTTACCTTTCTTTATAAATATGGGGCTTGTTAAAGAAATGTTACTATTGTGTCTGTAAGCAGATAAACTCCATTAGTTTAGGTGACTGGAACTGCCGATGCCAGTGGTGAATTTAATCCGTATCATTGAAAAATATGTTCACACATTATTTCTCAAAAAAATACATCAATATAGAACTGCATTTCTGTGTCATTAACAACCTTGTGAGCATTTCAATGTTTATCATGAGAGACTATCTTAAACCAAAACCTGTTCTGTTTCTTATGCTTGGTATCTATTTCATTTAGTTTTAGTATTTAAAAAGAAAGCATTTAATCCAGGTTGTAGATCTGACCTTACAGTCACAGGAAAGAGACACACTTCCCCAAGGCCAGCTTGTACTGGTTCAAGGTGCTTAGAGATTGTATGAAGTTGCTCATTTGTCTAGTACCCACCAGCTAAGGGCTGGAAATTCTCTTATACTTCCACATATACTTCCACATCCATGTGTTCTTGAAATCTTATTATAATATAAGTGCTTTCCACTCCCCAAGCACAAATTTTGTTAACTCGTTAAAACTAAGTATGTGGATCTTACGCAGTGTTTTCTCCCCAAGTTTTAACAGAGCAAATACCTTAAAACTACATAAACGTTTTATATGTCTTGAGTGGTTTTTAACTTGTGGTCTAGCTGTATGAATTACTTTAAACTTTTTAAATTGGTGATCCACAGAATGATGGAAGCCGAGAGAGTAGCAGGGAAGTATTATTTTGTGCTTGTCCTGTCTTCATGCTCTTAGGTATCTATTGCTTGAGATAGCACATTGGGCTATATAAACTCAATCTGACCATGTGCTGCTGTCTTTATGTTGGAAATATGGACAGGATCTCTGGAAGTCATTTATTCCAGCTTCCTCTTCAAAGTGAAACCACCACAAACTGCAGATCAAGTCAGCTATGGTTTTGTCTAGTTGAGTCTTACAAATCTCCAGTGGAGAGTCCAAAATGTCTGTGAGCAACCTGCTCCACTGCTGTACTATCCCTCTCATGGAAAACATTTTCCTCATGTCCAGTGGTAATCACCCAAGCCACAAGTGGTGACCACTGTTCCCTGTTACATTATTTGGCACTAGCAAGATGGTTTTAGTTCCAACACCTTTGAAACGACCTACAAGAAGTAATTGTAGGCTGCAATTAGATATCTTCCTTTTCACCAAGCTTATTAAGACCAGATTCCTCAAGTTCTCTGCACAAGTCAGATGCACTGTGTCCCAGCAGCAGGTCTCTGTTGAGCCCTCTTCAATTTATTCCCTTTAACTGGGGGAGGAAGGGAAAGGATTATTCCAGAACTGGACTAGGTATGTCAAATGCAGTCTCCAGCTGGCCTGGCAATACTCCTTGTTGATCCAGAACCTGACCTGCAGACTAACCTCAGCTTGACCATGGCCTTCCTTGCCACTGTGAACCTGCCCAGCAGTCACTGGGCAAAAAGACAAAAGCCTACAAGTTGGAGCCTTCTGCTATCTGTTTGTACCCACCTTTTGGTCAGGTGAGGTAACAGACTTCACCACCGCATTCCCATTGCCATTTCCAGCCTGATCTTGACCAAAAACTCTCAGCTTGCACTTCTGTGGTTTCATATTGGATCTCTGTGGAACAGAGATCTTTAATATAAAACACAAAAGTACACTGCTCTGCAAAAGGGAATGCAGTCTGGGAGCTAAGGATGGCTACACGACAAGCAGGGCCAGTAATCTCTCTGACAAGGCCTTTGATACCACGGTGTCCAAAGAAGAGGAACAAAACAGGGCTTGTGATGATAAACAGGCTCAGCCAACAGTCCGGTGATCACCAAACAAGTCCATAGTATCCAGAGAGGTCTCAGGTCAATTCAAAAAGTCAAGTTAGCCAGTCAGCATATCATGATCAGCAAAATGGAAGGCTAGGCACAGGTATACCTATAACATAGCTCAGGCAAGCACCAGGGGTGAGAGACTAACATTAAATGCAGCTCCCAAGCCAACGGGCAGAGGCCACAGACAGGCTTTTCACAGCTCTGTGCATCTCTGCTGTGTTAACTGAATTCTGGTTTTGTTTTGTTTTTTTTTTTTTTTTTTGGGTTTTTTTGTAAATGCTTTAAATTAGTTTAAAGTTTTAAAAAAAATTAAAATTTCATCAGGTTGCAATTGGGGAAAAATCAAAGTGACTGGACATGGGGGGCATAGAGATTGATTTGAAGGAGTAGTCAGGGAGAAATGTCAGATCATTCTCTTTCAAGATGTATGTCCTGAATCCAAGCGTAAATAAAATTTAGTAAGCCAGTTTTCCTTGCACTTTGCATAATCTATGCCTTGCTAATAAAATAAAGGATGAATGAAGGAACTGTGTAGACCTTAATTCTGTGAAAGTCAAGACAGCATGAGAGCTCTTCAGAGCAAAAGTATCCTCTAGCTCCCATATGTTATGAATCACACTGCCTCTGACTCAGCATAAACAACATGTAGAAACAGACTTCAGACCACTGGATTTAAAATGTTTGTAAATTTAAAACCTTTAACATAAATTTCTTATGTTTGGCTTACATACTGAATCTCAGGGATGACTGCCGATTAGCCAAGGCTCTTGCCCATGCCAGATCACATCTCTGCATCAACAAGCAGTCCTGGGTCTGGAGTGCCAGCTCAAGATAATCTCAGCATCCTGGCTTTCTTTTCTTAAATAGAAAGTAAGCTTTCATGCTTATGGCTGCAAAGAAAATCTGGAAAATGTCAGTGTTATCGGTATGGTCATGCATATCTGACAGATGTTTTCCCTGGGAATTACTCCAAACTTCTTACAATAAAGTACAAGGAACAAGGTTCATGAGAGCAACCCTCCAAACACCATCACAGTACTCTGTGTGTAGCTGGAAGAGAGCAGCAAATTCAGATTATCAGTGAGTCAGGAAGAGATCATTCCTAGCTGCTACATTAACTATTAAGAGGTCTTTAGCCACTCTTGCTGCTCCTCTCAGGAGGACAGATGTAAGCTTCTGCTTGTACTTATGGGTGCTGAGCCTCAACTGTTCTTCTTTAGGGAAGGCCCCTGTTTGAGTTGTGAGCAGGTTCACATCACCTGTAGCTTGTGGAGAGGCCTTCTGTTAGCATACTTAATGGACTGTCTTAATGAAGCCCTGTGAAATGTGTTTTTAGTGTTCCCAGCATAATAGCCTCAATTTCCAACAAAGATAATAATACATGTTTTTCAGCTCCTTGTGGTTGTCTTCAGAATCAGTTACCCAGGAAAAGTATGTTCTGCACACTTGAGTTAGCAGGAATTTGAGCAGTTAACTGCAACACAGCACTGAGAAGGTCCAGAAGGCATACAGCTATATTCCACATGGCTTTATGGTTTCTGTCTCTCCAGTGCACTCTTGAACAAGCCAAATTTTCTAATTTATTGGGTTTTTATTAAACAGATAAGATCCCTGTTATGTCCATGTCTATGTACATATGCTGCCATAAAAAGGTTTGGTAAAGGAAATGTTCTATAAATATAACACATAGAGTTCATAAATGGTAAAATACTCCTCTCATGCTCTCTTAGGAAGTCACATTCCACTTTGCCCTGAAAATACAGGTAGTTTATTATTGCTAAGGGCTTTCATCATATACAAAGGCTCAATTGCATTATCCCGCGACATATACAAAGAAAGAATAGTTCCTGCCTCAGAATGTCAGTTACCTGTGGGAATAATAATTAGCCTCTGAATGTCAGTTTTCAGATTGTGTAATGAGGTGTTTAAAAGTGCCTAGATGTCTTTAAAAATGGGACTTGCTTGATTTGTTACTTATTTATCTATTTTTTTCAGTACTGGGGGGTTAAGACCATTCTTTTACTGGTATAAATTATTTAACTCCAGTGATATAAAACTAAGTGATGGCCAGACACTGCATCTAAATGAATGTCAGGTTCTTTGACTTCATCAATGGTAGTAAACACTATGTGGTAAATGCCACAGTGCTTATTGCACAATTACTTTCCTTTTTAATGTACTTTATATGCAAGTTGTAGCTGTTTCTAGACTTTGCTATCTTCTCTTTCATGAGCATTTTAAATGGAAGAATTGTGTAGCAGCACCCAGAGCTGTTAAAACACCAATGCTCCCGATGACCTAATCATCCTGTTTTGGTCTTATAAGCAACATTCAAAAGCATGTTTGTGCATTAGTACCTATAGTATCTAACTTGCTCTGGGTAAAATAAAGAAGCAATTTTGATAAGGCAATGTATAGGACTTAGCTGCAAAATGTTAAGGAATATTTATGATTCTAATTCCTCTACTGAGTGTAGTACGTGTGTTCTTGGAGACTTCATTGAAGTACACATATCAGGTATACCCAAGTATAGCAAATATTTGGAAAAAAGATTTTATTTTCATGGTTTGAAACAAAATGGCAAAAAGTCAGAATGGTGACTAGGAAAGAAAAAGAAAAAAAGAAAAGACTAAAGAGAATAAAACATAGTAACTGGATTTTTTACCTAAATTATTTCTGAGGAATAGTACTCCTCGCTGACAGTTTTTTCCTCATTTAGGACCAGACTATTGTGCTCTTCAGGACCATGGCTGTGAGCAAGAATGTGTTAATACAGACAATTCCTATTTTTGTCGATGCCAAGAAGGGTTTAGACTTAATCCAGATGAAAAAACATGCAAAAGTGAGTAATTCTTTGGACATCATAAAGTTCATCTGCTTTTATTTCTCAAACCTGCTGTAAATGGTTTCCCTTCTGAAGGGATGAAATTTTTCTCTATAATTAAAGTTCAAACAATTGTTTCTTTATAAACCTGAATTTTAATTGAGCCAGTCATGCTGGCAAATATACTGTTGCTGTTTTGTAGACTAGGTTGTATATTAGATGTTTTCTGAAGAGATTTATGGAAACCTGAGGAGTAACACAGGAGTGGCTCAAAGCCAGTAAGTTCATTACTTATTTGAAATTTTCTGACCTTGTCTGGTAGTGACATAAACAGCTGGGAAAAGAAAATAATAATAATTTACCTTGCTTTGCCCCATTGGCTTCCCCAGGAACAGATGTATTTCATTAACTTGGGAAAGTGCTGGGTAGGTAATGTAGCTATTAAAATCAACTTAATGTCACACAAGAAACCCACAGTTTCCTAAAACAATTGTAAAAACAGCCTCAGCAATATAAGGGTTCTAAACCAATCACACATACTATTTACTTTAAAAAGTCTGTTGTGTTACAGCTCTTCTTGAGTAGGGGCCTGGAATCACAGTAGATTTTCAATGTAATGCTGTTAAAGTTTAAGGAGGATATGTTTGGTAAAATGAACTAGCCTAATCTGGTGACTCAGTGCCTGGAGGGGAAAAATGTGTTGCTGATATTTTATGAATAAGAAGCTTGCCTGGAGCAACATAATTATATTTTAGACGCTCATAAAATTTATCTGGTTTTGGAGTTGTATTTTCTCTCAGTTTTAAGGACTCGTTCTCATGAAGCATCTTTGTCTACACAGTGCTGTTTTTACAGCAATCCATGCTATTCTGGTTTTTATTGTCTATATGATATTTTAATACATTCAGGTTCTTACAGATTGGATGTGCCTTGGTAAGTAGAGGAAAAAAGAACAGTGTTGTGTAAAGTATTTATTGCCAAGGATGTAGTTGCAAACTAAAGGCAAATTATAATTCCCTTTTCAGAATTCTTAACCTTAGTGACATTTCCAGGATTACGCTCCTATTCCAAATCTTGTTACAAGAAGGCTCATGTTAGATAAGTTAGTAAAATAAAGCAGAACATCTGCAAATATGCCCTCTTTATAAATCAGGGAGAATGTGTCACTGGTAAGTAGAACCAAGCATTCCTCCTTCACCATGATGCATGGCTTCTGATGACTACAGGAGCAGGTCTGCGGGAGCCAAAGTGAAGTCTTGTATAGCCAAATATTTTCAATCCACTCTCAGATCCTCAACTCACTGTCAGCTCTAACAGGTGTCCAAAGAACAGGATCCAGTACTGTTTAAGAAAAGTGAGTTTTTCTAAGCCATTTTACTTCAGAAACCCTCATGGCTGGCATGAATTCCTCACTGTTTTTCTCTCCACAGAAGTAAACTTCTGTGCTTTAGGTCAGCATTATTGTGAACATGAATGGGTTGACATGGAAGAGTCATTTGTATGCAAGTGTCATCCTGGATATGCCCTATGACATGATGGCAATACGTGCAGAAATGAGTGTGTCTCATGAGCTGCAGTGACAAGTTACTGCAGTTGGGGGATGTGAGAACAGAATGAGAAAATGCTCGTGGGTCCCTTCTGAGATCTTTCTGAGCTATGCAAACCTATGTTATTGTAAAGTCTACCACGAGCCAGGCCTAGTGAAGTAATGCTATAGTGAGATCCCTGATCCAATAGAGAACTAAAGCATCATGTTTTCCAATCCAAATGACTATGAATATGTGTTCAGCCAAGGTGTCTAACACAAAGACAATGTTGAACATCTGCATCATTGCTATGGGCTATGTAAACTGCAGCACACCTGACGCAGGCCTATGCCAGTATGTGGAAAGATGTAGAGACTTCTGCCTTCTATATGTATATTCTTTCAATGATCTGTTTGATGAAATGTCCTTTTTTAGTAAGAATGTTACTAAATAAATGGTCAGTGTTGCACCAGAAAGAAACAAACACAATTGCCCACTTGACATCACCCAGTTTATTGAAGGTACTTTTATTGCAGAGAACCATTCTGCACATCATCTAAAATACCAGCAGCTGTTTCCCCTGATACTTATGTTTTTCCAAAGGAACACTCATTACTGAAATTAAAAAAAAAAAGTTGATAGGCCAGGGAGTAATTATTTCTAAATAAAATATTTGTGATAAAGCCAAATTTAAAGAAACTTGGATGTGTTGCAAGAGCTCAGAACTTTTTAACTGTTATGATTTTAGGCTATCACAAGTTGAATATCTAAAAATTAATATGTCCCAAGACACTCATTGTTTTTTAAAATACTGGGCTTTCCCTTGTCTCTTTCCCTTCTTACATTTTTTTTTAACACATGTAATGGAACACACAAAATGACCAAATTTACAGTATACTAATTTCTAAAGCCTGATATTTAGCACCTTTGTGATTACACTGCTCCTTGAAAGAGTGTGTTAAAAGATTCTCCATGAGAACCTAAAGTATTCAGATGTTGAAAGTCACATTAGTCTGGGTGTTTGTATTGTAAAAGACAATGCCAAACAGATGCAATTTTTCACAGAAAATACTGGGGGGGAAGTAAATCTGGGTTTTTCTCCACATTTTTATGTGCAGTAAGAAGTTACACAAGCCTCTTCATGATGATGTAAACTCTTGGAAAAAGGAGAATGTTCCAGCTGGAGCTTGCTTTACCTAGTAAAAACTGACACCATGGCTTCACTTGTTCAAGCCAACATTATCTTTTTCTATATTAAATAGTAAATCTGGACCCATTACTGCAAACTTATTGCTTAGTTAGATAAACTAATAAACAGCAATATTTAGAACTAAGTCATATTACATTAAGTACAGATTTATATTTTTTTTTTTATGTAAGCAAAAGCTTCAGACGTGCCTGTTCACATCTGTAAATGATTTGCAAATAGAGACATATGAGGCTGCGTTTGTGTCTGAGGGACCTCCACTACTTTTGATCAAGTTCAGCTAAAGTGATTTTGGACTGTATAACTAAAAATAGCCATTAACAAGTCAGCAATAAAATATTATGAGGAAGTTCAGTATAAAGTCTTTTTCCTAATATATGCTTTTTCTGTACTTACAGAGTCAGCAGATTACACAGTACATCTGCAAGTGCACGTATCTCACACTACTGCTTTGCTGTCCCTTCTGTGAGACAACATAGTTCTTAATTCCAGTTCACCTCTCTCTCTGTCTTCCCTTACCCTATCACACAACCAGTTGCATATAAGAAAAAAAAAAAAAAAAGAAGTCCCATTTTATCTTGGAATAGGAATAGGAAAATCAAAGAAAAGGAACATATTGAGACACTCTCACACTAATCATTTGTATCTGTCCCCCACTAAGCTTTAACTGCTTGAACCTGTTGTCAGATTAAAGCTTTAAATTGATGATTTCTCATCCTGTTAAAGAAGAATTTACTGTTTATGAAATAATCTAAAAGCCATAATTCCTATTTCAAGAGTTACTAATATTCATACTTTCCCTCTGAGAAAATGTTATGGTCAACAAAAGAGAGTCTTGCTTTGTAAAGCAAGCAAGCATGATTCTGCGGATAAGAACAGGCACAACTTCAAGGTTCTCCCTTCACTTCCCATTAAATTCCTTTTGTGACTTTTGGAAAGGGAGATCTGCACTTCATCAGGTTCATTATCTGCCAAGTGGGCTGGTTGTGTTCATTTCACTTAGGTGCTGTAATTAACTCAGGTTACTCAAATAGGTGGGCATACTGCATAAATAAAAAGCTGTACTGATATTTCTCCTTTGGTCTGCAAAGGCACTGTGTACTAACTAGTGTCATAGTGCTTGTATCTAAGGCTCCAGTGTGATTTCTTCAATTATTAATACAAATCAATAGGAGTGGACCACTGTGCTGAAAGCAGTCATGGCTGCGAGCAACTGTGCCTGAATACTGATAGCTCCTATGTCTGTCAGTGCTCTGAAGGATTTGTCATCAATGAGGACCTAAAAACCTGCACACGTAAGTGTTGTGAGAACTTCCTTGATTTCAGCTCACCTGGTAAAGGTTTCTGGTTTTGTACACGGAAGAGAACGCACCTTCAATTTGTTCTTACAGTCCGTGTTTTGAGATATTTCAATAATTGTTTGAAAGTAGAAACAGACAAAATGGACTTAGGAGAGGGTACTTGTCAAGATAACTGTAAATCCTTACATAGAAAAGTTTTGGAAGATCTGTTTATCCCCACGCGTCGAGGAAAGTTTTTCAGTCACATGGCAAATGTGTCTGACTGACAGGTCATCTTGACAGCAGCATCCCCAAGCACTGCATCAGCTTACCTGGGGCAGGAGAAGAAGCCTGAGTCCCACACTGAGCCTGGAACCTTTAATGAGTGACCAGAAGTTGTCCTGACAGCTCTCCACCCTTTAAAAATCTAATGATCATTGTGAATCATTGCAGTTTCACAAATAGCTGAATTGCCTCCTTCATTGGAAAAATAATATATAGAAAGTGCCAAGAAAACAGGAATGGGAATACATTTTGTCTGATGACTTTTCCTGGACCTCTTTGATGAGATGGTTTGGCCATTTTTTCTACAGATTTTAGAGGTATGGTATTTTTCAAGCTTATTGAGTGCTGGAGCAGCTCCAGAGTTTGCTCTTTTTCTTACACTCAAGCAACACAGTTTTAATAGAAGCCAGACTGCAAGTGCTCAGTCACAAAAATGATCTATTGAGAAGTGAGGCAAATCAGCAAAGGCAGTTTCTTTGTCTTTAACCTTGTCTTTGCCTCCATACTAGCCTTTTTAGCCTATCCAATACCTTGGCAGACTTTACTTCTGCCTGCCACTGCAGTTCCAGAGAGAGGGACAGATGGTAATGCAAAAGGAAAACTACTGTATCTGTAACAACAGGGCCTACTAGAAGCAATTTATCTAGATGTTTAACTGAAAGAACCACTGGAAATTTAGAAATAGACGAACTACAGAGTTTTATCAACTTGCAAATGGAAAATCCCATTGCCTGTATGTTAAAAAGAGATGGGTTTTTCACTCTTATTTTCCTCCAGGCAGTAGTTGGAGACCTATCAGCAGCACTAGAACAGTGCTGTGGCTTCTGGAATCCTTCTGTACAACGAAACAGCCATTTTGAATAGCTCCTCTCTTGCCAGCACACCCCTCTCCTCATGAATATTTGAGAAAGAGATTTGTCCTATTCCTGAGCTCCAGATGAGCTGTTGAAACCTCATGGCCATTTTTAGGCTATCTTTAAGAGAGTTTGGGCACATGGGGATTTCCTAAATGAACAGTTGAATGGAAGGGATTAGCATTTAACATATCCCACTCCTAATAAGAAAACATCTGGGAATTACTGTTCTAGTGTCATACACAGGCACAAGTGGGAACACCTGGATGGTAAATGGATTTCTACTCTGACAGCTAATTACAAAAAAGAGTGAGACTCTGTGTGTTGCCAATGGACAGTAGCAAATGCTGCCTGCAGGATCCCAGGGGTCCTGTGTCTTTGTATTACAGAGAAGAAATTTGAGATGAAAAATAGACTGTATTTGACAGTACTTGTCACTTGCAATTCTTTGCAATAGCTTGACTAGTCTAAGCCAAAGCTCACTGAGGTCCCTGAGGTTTTCTGCTTGCTGCCACAGCAGCTGGGTCATGTGCATAAGTGAGTTCTGGGGACTGCCATCTTCACAGTTGGACACTTAGAGATTGTCTTTAAAGAAGAATGTTCACAAGATTATTTGTCACTGTCCTATAGAAAATCATTGCTAAAGTGTTCTGCTTTGTCCTTTTTTTTTTAATTCCATTTTTAAGTACTGAGATGTGGATTCTGTTGAGCCATGTTACACATAGGAAAATATGATTTCTTAACTGTGATTAAAGTAGCCAATGGGAAGTACACCACAAGACCCTCCTGCATTTTCTTGAAGCTGTATGTATGTTATCAAATAAGGAACTGGATTGTTAGCTAAGCAGTTCAATATGTTTGTATTTACTTGCTTATATGTCATTCAAATACTAGAGATGAAATAATAATTGATTCATTATTTGTTAGATTTATTTAGTAACTTGATTTGCTCCTACAGGAGTTGACTATTGTGCTCTGAATGATCATGGCTGTGAACATTTGTGTGTAAATGGCGACAGATCTTACACTTGTCAGTGTTTTGAAGGATACAGGCTTCGTAACGATGGAAAAACATGTAAACGTAAGTTATTATTCTCAGAGTTAGATTTTTATTACACATATAGAAGAAATCTTCAAGGTAAGATTTAATTGCCTAAATGTTGCTGTCCATGCTCAAGAATTCTAAAAGTTCATAGTTTCTCCCTTGGTGTCATATTTAGAATCATGGAATAGTTTGGGTTGGAAAGGACCTTAAGATCATCAAGTTCCAACCCCCCTGCCATGGGCAGGGACACCTCACACTAAACCATATCACCCAAGGCCTCGTCCAGCCTGGCCTTGAACACTGTCAGGGATGGAGCATTCACAACCTCCCTGGGCAACCTATTCCAGTGCCTCACCACCCAGAAATAAAGTTTTGCCAGTAGTATGTCAGTATCTGGAATATGCTAAGGTGTCTAAAGTGGTACTGGATAGATACTTTTAGGGACTTGACTCATACCCTAAATGTCCATACCATTTAAAATGTAGCCCAAAACTATTCTATTCATACTTACATCCTGATATTAGACAGCTGTAATTTTCTTCTCAGGACAAGGCAAAAATCTATGATGTTTCTAAAGTCTTACACAGCATGAAGCTTGCAGCATTATTAATAGAAAGTTCATTTTATCCAGCATGGTATAAGGATGATTGCAAAAGAGATGTCATAATTATATCACATATTTGACTACATTATGCAGTTATGATGAGTGGCAGATATCAAGAAAAAATTCATTGCAAATTTCCCTCAATTTCTATAGCTTTGATCACTAAGTTATCAAAGAAGAATCATGGATAAATCTCTGAAAACCACACAGATGTCAAGTATTTTGTAACTGTAATCCCAATAATATCCACAGATCTTATCAACATCTGCTGTTAAAAACATCTACAGGGAAAAAAAAAGGTCATCCAGATATCATCATGATAAATGAAAAGCTCCTTAGTCACAGTTTGTGTATAATAACAACACCATACTGCAGAGACTAATTCTGCTTGACTCAGAAAGTACTGACACTCTAAAAGCAAGTGAAATGTTCTGTCCATGCAGAAATCCAAAGGGATCTAGATAGACAGAAGCAGTGTGTTATGGTTAATGGGATGAATGGGAACAGGCTTTCTAGAGAGGTGATTGATGCCTCAATCCTGTCAGAGGTTAAGAGGCATTTGGGCAATGCCCTTAGTGACATGCTTTAACTTTTGGTCAACACTGAATGAGTCAGGCACTTGGACTGAGGATCATTTTACATCCCTTCCAAGTGTAACTAAACTGTTCTGTTTTATTCTGTCCTTGCAGGAAAATAAAGGGTGTGGGGAAGAAAGTGAAAGCAAGATTTTAGTTTACCTAATGTTAATTAATAGATGTTATGTTATTTTATTTTGAAATATGAATTGTATCTGAATTCTGTATCAGAACTGAACATCTGCTTGCCCAATCGTAGCTGACAACTTCCCAGAATTTTACAATAGATAGGATCATATAATTTGACTTTCTCACTACCCTTGAATACTACATACACTGAAATTTTGTAATCCTGCTTTACAGAAAAATGGTAAACACCTTCTGAACTTAAGCACAGAGAAAACAAGCGTAACTATTTCAGGTTTGAGCAGGTTCATTACTGAAGATAAAAAGATGGTGATAGAAAGATCTGTTTCTCACCAGAAATTTGAAATGTTGATGTGGGATTTAGGTGCCTTTGGAAATCCCTGTGGGTCATGTTGGGGACATGTGAAATTCTACAAACTCTAGAACTGGAACAGTGCACTTTTCCTTAATGGTAAGGTTGTAAAATTAGAGGACAAAGATGTACCTTCTTGTTACAACAACAAAAAAAGACATCAGGTGCTATAAATTATTTGCAGGATCGAGTCCAGTATATTAGCAAAGACAAGAACATTCAGTAGCTGGGAACTGTAGGATTTAGACCATCTTGCCCTTAACTAACACGATTTTTAATATTTTAAATTATGCCCAGGTAAAAATGTCTGCAGATCAGTCAACCATGGCTGTGAGCATATTTGTGTCAGTACTGACAATTCCTACATCTGCAAGTGTCGTGAGGGATTCGTATTGAGAGAAGACGGCAGAACGTGCAGGAGTGAGTGACCAGTATTTACTGAACATTTTTGCATGTGCATCTGGCAAGTAAAGAACTGTGGGAGTTCCTTTTCCACTTTTTACTGGGAAAGTAAGAACACCACTTTCTTTTGATTTCTGCATCTTTTTTAACATGTTTTCATTCAAGACATGTGTTTATGTCAATTATTCCCAGGACGAGACATCTGCAAATCAGTCAGCCATGGCTGTGAGCATATTTGTGTTAATGAAGATGACTCGTATATTTGCAAGTGTCATGAGGGTTTTCTGCTGAGAGAAGATGGGAAAACATGCAGAAGTAAGTACTCTGATAATTATTCATAGAGTTTTATCTACAGTATGGAGATTTGTGGAAGTGTTCTAACAAATGCAACAGCAGTTGGCTGTTACAATATAGGAGTAGTATTGGTATACCTCCCAGGAGCTTGTGAGAGACTCTGTGGACAAAAATAGTATATTTTAATAGCCAAAATGATGAGGGGACAAAAAAGACTCAAATACCAAGAGTAGTGTTTGCTGCCTAAAATTTTGCCCATTTCTTCCAGTGGTATCAGTAGACCTAATAAAAGCTATTACTTCTCCCTGCATGATACATTGGCTGTAGATGTGCTTTAACCAAGTATCATCAACTGTTCTCAGATAAAGACATTTGCAGTTCAGTTGACCATGGCTGTGAACATGTTTGTGTTAATGCTGATGAGTCATACATCTGCCAGTGTTATGAGGGATTTGCACTAAGGGAAGATGGAAAAACATGTAGAAGTAAGTATCCTTATCTTTAATAGAATATTTCCTTTTTCATCTTTGTATTCATAGACATGTTATAAATGCTGGTAACCTTGTATTTTTTTCCAGATAGAGATGTTTGCAATTCCGTTGACCATGGCTGTGAGCATGTTTGTGTGAATACTGATAGTTCATACATTTGCCAGTGCTATGAAGGTTTTATACTGAGAGAAGATAAGAAAACATGTAGACGTAAGATATTTTATGATACTCTATTTTTTGCACTCAAAGGTCTACTCAAGAAACATATTGTGTTAGAGGTAGGTCTTCTTATAGGGGATTTTGCCTGACAAAAAAAGGAGGGTAATGTCTTTATTTACTAGGAGCTTATTACTTTTAATCTTTAAAGTATTGGAAATTTTCTCATTCATCAAACTGTAGTAAATAAAATCTAAATTATTCCTAGATAAGGACATCTGCAAATCAGTCAGTCATGGCTGTGAACACCTTTGTGTGAATAATGAAGATTCATACACTTGCCAGTGCCATGATGGATTTGTACTGAGGCAAGATGGGAAAACATGCCGAAGTAAGTATCTTATGAATAAAAAAAGAAATTTTGTTTTCCTGTTATTAGGACATTATTCACTGATTCATAATAGTCAGAATGGAATATTGTTTTCTGTAGATCATAAGACTTCTGTGAATTAACAACTGAACTAAAGACATATTTCAGAAAATTATCAAATTTTAATGCTTGAATGTAGCTTTTAAAATATTAACTCTATTTCTAGATTGAGTATATTGAGTTTCAATCTTGAGCATAGGTTCTTGCTGCATTTTACATTGATGGGTTGAAGTTGTAATTCCCACTGTGTTGCTCTGTGTTCCAGCAGATCATCACTTAACCTGTTCCTTAACCTCTTAACATATTCTTTTGTAAAGAATAAGCAGATGAAACTCCTTCAGGCTCTTTACATGTTTTCTAATATTTTTATAAGTCTCTTCTGGCTCCCCTAAAATGTCTGCTATTTATCAGCATCCTTGAAGGGACACCAGAGTGGTACAGTTTTCTAGAAGGAGACACAGCAGGGTCCAAGGTAGAGGAATTATAACCCACCTAATTGTTATTTGAATCTTTTTTTATCTTTTATGGGTTTTTTAATCTATCTTTTTTAATTAATCCTTTATTTTATCTTTTTTTTTTTTTTATCTATTCTACTGCTAAAGATAGCAGTAGGTTTGTGACTGACTAAAATATTCTGCTTCCTTGGAGTTCTAGGAGCTACTGAAAAATAACGCTAAGCATCCAAGGTGTTTTTCAGCCAGCTCTTCTACAACTCTTCACTGCAAGTTATCTGGTTTAGAAATGTGCGTGTTCAGTAGGTGCTCTGTGACCTACTTCTCAGCTAAGGAAACCCTTCACTCCAACAATATCATCAGTGGCTTATTAAACATAAATTCAGAACTGAATGCACTGTATATTTTTAGGATCTGTAAAGAATGGCAATTCTACCATTTCTATAAAATAACAAAACATTATTAAAATGCTTTTTGTTCCTAATTATCTTTAAATATCTTACTTATACTATCCTTATTTAGTTGGCCATGCACACCCTTGACCACTATCTTATTATTTCAGTATTTTCCAATTCCTGATATTGTCATGTTCAGTAAATGCTTTGAGCGTGCCTTTCTTTCAATCATTATTCAAATCTTACAGCTGATTTCAGTTTCCAAATGAGGTTGCTTTTCTAACTACTTTGGCATTCTTTTTAGATTATAGGATTAAATTTTTGAAGGGTATCTAGTAAAATAACCTTAATTAGTGCAATCATTCACTTCTTTTATTTATTTTTTTTATTATTATTCCCCACATGCCAAAATACTGAGGCTCAAACTTGCCTTCGGTTATGTAAAATTCATCCTTTTGAAGTATAGCCATGTCTGGTGCTGGTTTATATTTGATACTGTTTATAAACAACAAGTGGGTCTGAGTTGCTCACAGCTGTGTATAAGCAGATGCTAATTTTTATTTACATAATAATTTCTTTTCTGTGTGCTATAATGGGATCCAGTTTCGATTCCCATGTCTTAAATGTAATGCTTGTTGAGTTAGAAGATTGCCCTCTTTAGTGGTCTTCGGAATTTTTGTACTGGCATCATGAGACCTCCAGGTAACTTTGCTCAGATTGAAGTTCTTGTAATAATACTAATTTTTCTTCCCTACACATTAAGTATTTTGCAGAAGGTTCAGTCTGAACTTGGCTGTCTGTACTGTTCTACTTCATATGTAAAGGTAGTTCTCCATAAGCAATTGAGGGTATTTCTTTTAGTGTTGCAGTGAAAAAGAAATAATGAGTGCTGATAGATGGCTCTGTTTCCTTCTCTACTTTCTCCCTATCTATCTGTCCTTGAAGAGGTTTTAACCAACTGGTTTTAGCATTGCAGTCAAACAAATCCTCGCATCAATTTTCAGCAACACCAGTTGGGCTATTTATCCTCTTAAATGAGTAGTTCCTATTCTTCTGCAGTTTGTTTATGCAGACTCTTGGCACTGATGTAAGGATGTTAAATAATTATTTTGCTTTGTGTCTGTGCTGTTTTGCTTAATTTTATTTTTACAAGCATGAATTTGTGCTGAATGACTATGCTAAATTATTCCTTCCTTTCACTCTCACTGCTCTTAATGTAGTCTTCCTCCTTAGTGTAGTCAGATTGATCCTAAAATGACTTATCGACAGTGGGAGGCTATCCAAACCGTGCAATTCTTTCTGCTCAGATGGTAAAGAACTCATGCTCCGTGTAAGCTAAGCTGTCTATCATTTGACTAGCTCAAGATTTGCTTTCAGTTTGCAAACTTCCATCTTTCTTTTCTCATGGGATTACCCCCACAGTCTTGTATTTATAAAAAAAGTTTAACTAGCAAACCACATTAAATATTATCTAATTATTACCAGGCAAGGATATTTGCAAATCAGTCAACCATGGCTGTGAACATATTTGTGCTAATGCTGGTGAATCATTTGTTTGTAAGTGTCAGGAGGGATTCCTGCTAAGAGAAGATGGAAAAACATGCAAAAGTAAGTAGTGTGATATTTATCAGCATACTTTGTATCTGCAGCTCATGTTTGTGTAGAAATGCATTAACCAGCAAGAGCTATCATCTGTTTTCAGATAAAGATGTTTGCAGATCGGTCAACCATGGCTGCGAACATCTTTGTGTTAATACTGATGAGTCATATATCTGCAAATGCCATGATGGGTTCCTACTGAGAGAAGATGGGAAAACCTGCAGAGGTAAGTAGCATGAGAACTTAATTTGATGAATTTCATGAATGTGATGAGCACATAGAATCGAGGCCTCTGCTGATGCATGCTGACTACCAGCTCTTCCATTTGCAGACAAGGATGTTTGCAATTCAGTCAGCCATGGCTGTGAACAACTTTGTGTGAATACCGAAGATTCCTACATCTGCAAATGTCATGAAAAATTCATACTGAGGGAAGATGGAAAGACATGTAGATGTGAGTAGCCTGAGCTATAAAAGTGTATTTTTATTTGAGGCTTTTAAGTCTTGTGGCTGTCAGTGTTTGCACACATGTATGTTGGTGAATTCCAACTGTTTGAGCAGGCTAGTAAGAGATACTACCTTTCCCTAACAAGCTTCACCTCACAAACTCCATCCACTCTCCTCAGATCAAGATGTTTGCAACTCAGTTGACCATGGCTGTGAACATATTTGTGTTAATACTAATGATTCCTATATCTGCAAGTGCCATGAGGACTTCATACTGAGGGAAGATGGGAAAACTTGTAGGAGTAAGTTGTTTAATCTTTGTTTTGTACTTCCTAATCTGCTAATGAAACACACTGTGCAATTTGTATCTTTAACATAGAATCAACTTCTTTGAAGGGAGCTCCTTCATAGAAGATTATTGCAATAATGCTTACATTCTGTGAAAGTTATTGACATAGACAACAGTGCTAAATATTATTTTCATTATTCCAAGGTAAAAATATCTGCAAAGCAGTCAACCATGGTTGTGAACATGTCTGTGTTCCAACTGGCGATTCATACACGTGTCAGTGTCACAAGGGCTTTATATTGAGGCAAGACAGGAAAACATGCAGGAGTGAGTAGCTGAAACCTTTATGGAAATAATGTTTTTCAGTCATAAAAGAAATTAACAGACTTAGTTGCACTCAAAGCTTTTTCATGCCAGTTTGCATTTCAGAAATGGTTTAATAAGGAAATTCTCTTAACAATTCTCAGATAAAGACCTGTGTAAATCCATTGACCATGGCTGTGAACATGTGTGCGTTAATAATAACAATTCATACAGCTGTCAGTGCCATGAAGGTTTTGTCCTGCGACAAGATGGGAAAACATGTCGAAGTAAGTAACTCAATGTGTTTGTCAGCCACCCTTCTCTGGCATCACTACATAAACAAACAAAGATGCTGTACTACTTTGTCATACATTATTGCAGTATCATGTTTGGAGTCTTTGAATTTATAAATATGTTAAATAAAACACATATAAATATTTCAATTTACAGATAAAGATGTCTGCAAATCAGTTGCCCATGGTTGTGAACATATTTGTGTTAATAATGATGATTCATACATCTGCAAATGCCAGGAGGGATATATATTAAAAGAGGATCAGAAAACATGTAGAAGTAAGTACATCTTATTTAGAAAGCATTTGTTTCTTTGATTTCTAAACTACTCAAACTTACTTCAAAAATGCCTTACTTCAAACATGCCATGATATTTCAAAGCCCAAAACATATGTGAGTGTGATGGAAAATGTCTTGAATAATTAAATTGATGCTCTCGTAATCAAAAAACTATCAAATTGGAACAGTCGTTTTGGTAAAACATCAAGTATGATAATAATAGTTTTCAAACATGAAGAAAAAAAGCCGAAGTGAAATCTTATTATTCAAGGAATGTTCACTTTAATCAGATTCATACACCTTTATATACTCTATCTTAAATTATCTATAATAAATTATCTATAATATATTAATTATTACTTCTGTTTACTTATTTTCCGACATGACATGCTTAGAGTGTGACATACATTTATCTCAATGCCTCTTAATACTTGGAGGAAAAATTCTTCTACTGGAACACAATAAAAACATTTATACTCAAAAATGGATGCCTTAGCTGGGGACACTTACTACCAAAAGAATGGTAACATGTTCATGGCTGATCTCAGTCCTAAGTAAAACTATTCACCACGAACTGCTGCCCTATCTTCTGCAATGATACCGAGGTGGCTCTGACACTCATATTCATTGCACTTCTATCACTTTACTAAGCGTGACACATCTTTTCCTTAGATGACTGCAGAAAGGAATTCTTGGACAACAGTTTTAAAAGAGAGCCATTGTCCAAGATGAAAAGGACAAGCTTTAAAGCTGAAAATTCCTTATTCCTACACTGACTTGCTAACAGACGTCTTCAGTAATTTCTGCAGTCAAAGTAATTTTTACTGCACAATTCTCTCTTGTACAGTGCTTACAGTATTCTTACTATACAAACATCAGAGATGAGTGGAGGTCAAAGTTTCTTTGGTCCAGACTAAGATGCAAATGTTGCATTCCTTAGTGTGGCAAATTCTCCCTGGAAGTTACATTGGTCAAAACAGGAGCTCAGCATCTCTGTAGCACAAGCCTACTAGTCTATGCCTGCTGGAGGCAATCACTTTCCAAAATGCAGAACACCTGACAGAACGAGTCTGCAGCTTTAAAGACATTTTCCATTCCCTAAATTCCCTAACTTTGTCACAGATGCACACTGCCTACAAACTGCTTTGATTTTTGTGTGTGCACTTGCCAAAAAGTATGAGAACTCCAGCTTTGTCAGTCTCCTGACAAACTCCCAGCTTTAATGGGTAAACCAGAAAGGGTTCATTTCAGCAACACATAAGCCTTCTAGTAACAAGACTGTTAGAGAGTTACAAGCAAAAAGCTTATATAAACAATTCTGATCCATGTTTGGCAGCTAGGCACATTTCTAGAATTTACTCTCACCTGGTTTTTTAGTTGTTTTTCTGACACTAGAGGTTTAAGTTTGTGCTACAAAAACATGTGCATTGTCTGCCTTTTGTCCCAAGACTTGAACCTCATCCTAAGCTCTAGGGCAGCTGCCTAACCCTTCTCTTCTTGCTCAGTTTTCCCCAAGCTCTTTGGCTTTTGCCTCACTGTTCCCTGCTATTCTAAATATGATGCCTAGATTTTCACCTTATATACAAGTGTGGCTTCACTGGCTCATTTGCTTGTACCATCTTTACCTTTGTGCTACTTCTGCAACACAAATGCAGCTCAGTAATTCTCTTCCGTGTCTTTCAGTGCTGGTCATCTACACAAATGTAAAGTTAGAGTACTTTACGGTATACAGTATACATATAGTATATATATATATACACACTAAACTGCATACAGTACTTTACAGTATACATAATTCCAGGCCTGTATCTGGAAGAAAATGATGGCAACTCTGTCTCTATATCCTAGCTATATACTTCAGTTATACAGTTCTCTCCACGTAAGTCATTTTTAATTTGCTGATTATTGCTGTGTCTAGTTGTAGTATTCTGCAAAGCAGTATGTCTCGGTAAGTATTCATTGTCATGGTATTTTTGTTAAACTGTTGGTCATGGGTGCACTCTTAGTTTTCAATAAAGACTATACACAACATCTCTAGACACACTGGCAAAGATGGATGAGCCAGGAACAAGATACTCTAGATGATCTCTGAGTTTATGTATCTGGATCCCTTTTTCAGCTTTGTGGAGATATGTCATCATCTGAACACTCTGCTGCTTATTTCACAGGATGCACTGAAGGCCCATTGGACCTGATGTTTGTGATTGATGGATCAAAAAGTCTCGGAGAGGATAATTTTGAAATAGTAAAACAATTTGTCTTGGGAGTCCTGGATACACTTGAGATTTCACCCAAAGCTGCTCGAGTTGGTTTGCTTCAGTATTCCAGTGAAGTTCGCACAGAGTTTACATTAAGGCAGTTCAGCTCAGCCAAAGACATGAAGAAAGCTGTGTCACAAATGAAATATATGGGTCGAGGTTCCATGACAGGACTGGCTCTGAAGCACATGTTTGAGAGAAGCTTCACAGAAACGGAAGGAGCAAGACCATTTTCAGCACATGTCCCTCGAATCTCCATTGTGTTTACGGATGGACGAGCCCAAGATGAAGTCTCTGAGTGGGCTGCTAGAGCAAAACAAAATGGTAAGGGCAGATGGTTTTGATTCATTCTAAAAGACAAACAATGTTAGAAATAAGATGTAGTAATATTATGGATGTGGTCCAGCATGTGCTAATACAGAGAGTGTTTGCCGTAGCAGGCTGGCTAATACGGTGACCACTGTAGCAGAACACTGGATCTTTAGTGTTCACAAGAGCCTTTGCTACAAGGCACATATGTCATCCCTAGTGTGGGACCCGTGATGAGTGTCTCATCACTGAAGTTACATGCCATACACAGTTGGTGCTACTACCCACCTGGTATGCCATGCAGTGTTCCGAACATATCCATATATGGTGGAGTCAACTCAAAATGTTCAGAACTTTTCAAGAAAAAAAAAGAATCCCTTTTTCCTTTGCAAACCATTTTCTATTTTATGAGAAACTTCTTTAAGAACACGGGCTGATGGCCCACAGCACACAGAGAATAGCCAGACTTTAGAAGACGCTGCACATCTTTTTTTCTGTTCTTGTTTTATTGACTTTATGTATCCATCTTAACTTGATACGATTAATATAGCATTGGTAAGGACTAATACGTCTCTGTAAGGAGAAAAGGGAAAAATGTTGAAGGATATGAGAGGAGCAGGTACTAACAACGGTGTCATTACAATGAAATACAAAGTGTTTTTTTAAATATTAAAACCAAACCCAAGGATTTCTACACTAACTTGTGACAGCTGGGGAAAGTACATTGAGGATTTACAGGACTGAAAAAAAGAAACACAGGCCAACTTTGCTTATGCAAGCCCTGAATGAAACATCAGCTCCAGACAGCTTACACTCATATTTGTAATATTTGGTACAAGCCAAATGTGTCCCCTGTGTAATTGCAGTGTAGGCAATGTAGTAATGCTGAATATGAAATTGGCCTTGAATGCTTTATCACTGGTATCTCCAAGACTTTAAAAAGCAACAAACCTCAGCATGACTGGCCCATTCATTAAACTGAATCAGCTTCTGGCAAATGTTTTACTTTCCTGGCTAAAGTGAAGGGTAGGCAGATTCATGACAAAAAGTAAGATGCTTATGTTAAATGTTAAACAATTGGGAAATACACTGAAGCTAACAGTTGTATTATGAGTAGCAGAATCACTACTAGCTGGGGACACTTTCTAAGCCAGAACTGATACAAAAAATGTTGTATCAGATCACATGTTCATGAGAATAAAAAAATAACTGCTGAAAAAAGTGTTACTAAAGATCACGTTTTGTATTCACTGCTTCTTTAAAATCTGTCCAGTGAGAAGGCTGTGAACCGCTTCGTTCCTTCCCTGCTTTCAAAATGAGGAAAACTACAAATCCACGTTTTCTTTCTCCCTAGCACCTCTGCTTGTCCCAGGCATCCCCATTGTGAGGCTTTTTCTCTCCTAACTCCCCAAACCATTTCTTTTACCCTGTTCCTCCTCTTGTAGGTCTGGGTGCGTTTCAACTGCCTCCCAGCCCCCTAGTGACTTTTAGAGTCCAAGAATATTGTTTCAATGTGTTCTGGGGATTTCAGTGAAGACTAAGTATTTGCATTTTTCTAAAATAAAAATTTACTGCAATCTTGCAGGATTCTGCCCCATTTGCTAACATAGAGCAGGTTTTCCCATCAATCCAGTAATTAGCTTTATTGCACACACCCTACACAGACACACACAAACCAAGAACTTGCAGTGCAACTGTGAGAGCAATTTGTGTGATTAGAATCACAGAATAGTTAGGGTTGGAAGGGACCTTAAGATCATCAAGTTCCAACCCCTCTGCCATGTGCAGGGACACCTCACGCTAAACCGTATCACCCAAGGCTCCATCCAGCATGGCCTTGAACACCGCCAGGGGTGGAACATTCACACTCTCCTTGGGCAACCCATTCCAGTGCCTCATCACCCGTACAGTTAAGAACGTCCAACTTTTGGATGTTTTGCATCCTCCCGGGTTCATTTACTATCAGTAGTGGCCAAGCAACAGTCATGTCTTTTACTTAAAAACTGTTAAAATTCCATCAGAGCACTGAGTTTCTATACACCTCAATAACTAAAGCATATTAAACATGTTCAAAACCAATGTTGAAGTAAGTTACACAGTATATTCACTTACACTCTCCCTTTTTCTCTAAAACAACTAATGCCTGTATTTTCCTTTCCTTTCATGGAGAAACAAAGGTTTAGAACTGCTGATGTAACAATTTTGTGCTATTTCTTTTGAATCTAGGTATAATTATCTATGCCGTTGGAATAGGACAAGCAGTTGAGGAAGAATTGCTGGAAATTGCTTCTGAGCCACCATACAAACATCTCTTCTATGCTGAGGATTTCACAGCTATGGAGGACATCAGCGAAGAGCTAAGAGCCCAAATCTGTGAAGGTAACAGTATTCCACTTTAGTTGAGATAGAAGAGGAAGGGATGCTTATAGAGCTTTTGGTGGCCTAAAAGGACAACAAGTATCATAGTACAGGTCATAAATCATCGGTGTCAGCATTGCAAGGACTAAGTCACGGTAACTTTTCTGCCCTTTAATATGTGAGGAATAATCTATCACCAGGTAAAGGTATATAATAATTGTCTTTATTTTCATAAAGTTTACATAAAATGCACACTTCTGTACCCAGAAAAATCAATTGCTCCTTCCCCTTTCTTTTTCTACAGTTAAGTCAGCCATGCACTGAACCCCACCCTGCCAAAGAAACATTATCTACTCCATTAGGAATGTGGGAGAATAATCAGGAATTCGTAATGTCTTAATGAGAATGAAAAAATTACTCTTAAGACCAGTGGCAAAAACCTAAACCACAGCAAAACAATCAGGAGCTGTTGTTCATATTTATACAAGACTAAAAATAGCTCATTGAACATGCATTCACAGGCACAAAGAATGGATCTGTGCTGCATAAACTTCAAGTTTTGCTCCATAAACATGGAAGGTTTGTTCCAGAAAGCACCCTTCCTCACTCTGGCACGAACAGCCTCTATATAAACATATGCAGCTGAAGTTTTGCAAGGGGAAGGGGGAATGTCAGCTGGAATGAAAGCTGTTCAGCCAGAGAGAGGACAGCATGTGTCTCCCACTCACACATTCCCAGCACTTGTACATTCAAACTGGTACCTGAAGCAAAAATTCAGAAGTGTCACTGTGAATAATAGTAGTCCTAGCATCAGAATTGTGCTAAATGATTTCATTTGCACTAGCTCATATTTGGTTGTTTTTCTTGGAATTAAATGCAAACAGGTTTTATTTTCTTCTTTAATGCTGCTGTTGTAAAACTGCCTGGCAAGCAGCAGTGCACTTCTTCGTACAGATGTCAAGGAAAATTCTGGAAGAAAAAAAAAATAATCCAAAAATGTTTCTTAGCTTGTGTATACCTTGTTTCAACCCTAAGACATCCTAGTTCAATTTGCTGCAATATGAAATACTGTGGCAACATGAAACCAAGCCTGTTCTATTAACTTTCTTATTAGGCAGGTAATCTGCTGATGACAGCTTGTCATAAAGCCTGTGGAGACACCAAAGCTATACTGGTTGCCAGACAATAATTCTCCCTCATTAGCAACCCCCAGAGCTCGGTGATGGAAATGCATCCTCCAGGTACCCACAGTGGTTTTCAGCAGCCAGGCTTTCTTTTTTCAGCTACATTACTTGCCGTATGAAAAATAAGTAAATCCTGCCCCTCTGTGGCAGTTTCTAGACTACACCGCTAAGAACTGGGCAGAGCTGGAGCCTGTTTCTGTCCGCGTCTTTCACCACCAGGCAATCCCTCACACCTGTGAACTGAGGACTGACCCAGCCTTGTTTTTCTGGACACTCCAGAACTAGCTATCACTGCTCACAACTCGCTCCAGCTGAAATTCTGCCTCCCAAGGCTGTTACACAAGTTGAAAGTTCTTTTTCCCTCTCTGTTCTGGTTTAGTTTTCACTCCTTTGCAACAGCAGTAATTTAATTTTCAGTGCAGCCTTGGTCCTTAGCTGAGGACATCTGAGGCTCCAGCCCGTGAGCCTCTGAACATCATGGCCTCCAATGACAAAGCCTCTCATCCCCAGTCCCAGCTGTGGATGGGCTGCATGTTTCCATGTAAAGCAGAAGCTCTCCAACTCTCTTTTGGGGTAAGGCTTTTTCTTCTGCAAGAAAGCATCAGCCTTGTAGATGGCTGCTGATTACTATTAGTTATTCTTGATGACTTGTAATAAAAACAAAAAAGTGGTTTTCTCTTTTGCCTCTTAAGAGGAATTCAGCTGGAAAGTTCCCATTCATTGCCTCGCTTAATGTTAATTTCTCATCTGTGTGGAAGCACTAACAAGGCTACAGCAATGTCATACATAATACACGCATCATGATTGCCTCTTCACCCCTGTTCTGAGCATGTGCGTTACGGAAGCCTTTAATTACATGGTCACATACTATTTTTGTCAAAAGACCCCAGCACTGCTCAGATGACAGTACTCAGCAGCCTGCTGGTTAACATTCTGTTCTCCTTCCAAACTGAGATCGTTATCAGTGCTGCAAATAGCCACTGCTTTTGAAGACATGCTTTTTTGAAGGCACTTTCTCAGAGGCTTTTTTAACAAAATACTCAGGTTTTGTTACAAAACCAAACACTAAAACCAAACACCCAACTTTAGCGTTGTTCCCCAACAAATTTGACTATTTATGTTCACTGCCCTGACTTCACCAAGGGACTTGGTTAGGGTTAGCAGCCTCTGTCACTACTTCTCTGACTTTACAGAGGTGACAAGATCAGACATCTTAGGGCCCCAAGCCTGAAGAGTTGTTTCTGAAATGCCTGGTTCCCAAACTGAAGACCTTCTGCTATACTTTCATACTTGACAGGAAAGCAAACTGGTAGATACACTGGCATTACATATGAATCCTAATTACTTGTCTGTACCAGCCCAATACCCAAAGCTTAAGCTTTTCAGGTGTGTTCCTCTGTCCTTCCTAGACAGCTTCCTCATCCACCTACAGCTCTTAAATGAGCTCTAGCGCAAGTCATTACCCAGGGTCACATACTCATGGTTCCTTACCCATTTCTTCCCTCCTACACTGGAAGCCTCACCATCCTTGTTCCTAGCTGATTATTCTGCTGGACTCCTCACCCAATGTATCTCATTCCTCACCCTGTGATCTCACCCTACACCCCTCTGCCCGGAACTTTCTCAAAAATCTGTATTGCTTCTATCAGCTGGTTACCCTGCAGACTTTTTGATGTGTTGTAGTTCTGCCCACTGTACTCTTTTAATTTTCTTAACAACTCTATTCACTCTCTCAAATGACTGTCATTTGAGCTCCACCCCAAGAGGGTCTCATCTTCCCAGTGCAGCTTAGGACAGCTGTGTATTGTTGCGCATCCGTCAAAATTCATTAGACCAACAGAGATTCCAATAGCTGTAACGAACCTGTGAGGCCTAGGAGCATCTTCCACCTCCCTAGTGTGTCTTCATAGTGGGCCAGAAGAGCTTGCACCATCACCTTTTACCCACACACATTCACTTTTAGTGTAGCAGCTTTGGGTATATTCACAAGGAAGGAGTCCCAGATGCTCCATTCATTCCCCTGGCATAGCTGATCAAGACTTGCAGTTGTTAACTGTATGCTCATCAGCTCACCTGAACCATTAAGCACTCCGCAGTTAACTAAAGGTGAAGCATGAGCTCATTCTGAAGGAACCAAAGCTGCCTCTACATTATCCTCTTCTGACAAGGGAGTAGTGCTCAGACAAACTCAAGGTGGTTACTCCTACATATAAAACAGGTTTCCATTTCTCTCTACACACCTTTCAAATAAGATTGCTACGTAGAGTCTGAAATAAATCCCTACATTTTAAAGGCTATGCTTCATGAATTAGAAGCTTTTTTATAATATAGTATATCAAATAAACTCTACTCCATCCTTCTCACCTAAGCACTCCCAACACCCTGATCAATGTTTCCCATTATAAAGGAGAAAACTGAAGGAGAGTAAGAAACTTCTTTCTCCAAGCAGTTTTTAATTCTTGTTCAGTTCACTCCAAGGAACTCAGGGGTGACAATTATTAAGATACAAAAATTTTCACTAAAGGACACAAAGTAGGTTGCTGTCATTTCAGATTGCTTTACTACTATTATCTTAAGCACTTCTGGTTTGGAAGAGTTCTTCTGATAGCCTGAGTTGAAGGGTGAATCCTGGAGTCTCCATGAACACTGGGCCTCTTCTGAACTGCAGAGATATGAGGCATTCTCCGTATGTTATGAGAGACAAAACAGCAAGTTATTGGTAGGAAACATCATTTCTAAGGAATGTATTTTCATTGCTCCTTTTGTGATCTCCTTTCCTTTGGCAATTTCTTGTCTACCAGCCTTGAAAGAGTCAGCTCACCAGCAGGATCCATCATCTGGGAGGCTTCATAAGACTGGTCCACAGCGTTCAGGTTGGCTGCTTTACCCCAGTATCCTGCTGTCTCCCCAGTCATTGCTAAGTTCCCTCTTCACACTGCCTTCTGTACAGAACCCTAACAATTCACCTGTGAGAGAACTGTTCATGCCATTTCCCTTCCTACCCCCCTCCAAGGCACCTTCCTTTCTGCAACTCAAATCTGCTTTCTGAAAAATACTGGGAGATTCACTGTAACAAATGCATGGCTGCATGCTTTTTACACAATCCAAATGTATTATTTCATGGAGAAACTTGTATTTCAACACACTGCTTGGTATTTTAAAGCATGCTCAGCTTTTAAATCACTTCTGTTTCTTACAGGAACCTTCACAACTTAAATCATGTACACAGTAAATACAGCCTAACAGCTCAGTTTCTTCACTTCTTTATATCCCTTCACCTCTAAATGAATGAGACTCACTGCAATCAGTGAGATTACTCACTAATTAAGAAGCTGGTGCATTTGAGTAGAAGAAAAATACTGTTTAATTAAGTGGGTTTGATTTTTAGACTTTTTTTTTGGGGGGGGGAGGGGGGGGGTCTGCAGGACCGGAATCAACCACAATAGCCATCACAGATGTCATTGCCTGTCCTGATCTTGCAATACACCACAAGTATCTTTTTGAAGACAGTCACACTCACTCAACGAGAACAACAGGTAATCAAGTTACTTTTGTTTAGTGTAATCCAGACTGCTCTTTAAATAGGTAGGCCCAAGTGCTGGTACTATTTCCCAGTATTTACAAGATCTGCCCCAGAGCATTCCTTTGGATGTTGACACGTTTTGAGAATGGGGAGCTGTATTAAACCTGCTCTGCATTTATAAATCCTTGTCATTTCCTCCCCCATCCCATTTGATTTATTCAGCATTTAGCCTATGCTTGACAGTTTCTGTTTTTTCAGCAAAAGCTTCAAAAGACCAGTGCAAATGTGAAAACCTTGTGACATTCCAGAACTATGCAACCAATGAAGTAAGAAAACTCACCCAGCGATATATCCTTTCAGAATAATTCCTACATATAAGACAAGGGGGTCAGGTTAAAAGAAATTATAACTGTAACACATTAAGTCTAAGCTGTCTCCATAGCTCAAATCCATCTACTGTAATGAAAAGCTAAAGTACTGAATAATGTTAATCTCCAAGAAGCAAGGCTTTCAAAACTTGAAATGTGCATCTCCACCATAGAAGAAATGAAGTATTAGTAAGGATCTTAAACTTTAAACCCTTGCAGTAAAGACCTTCAGGGACAGCAAATGAAATGACTGGTCAAATTCAAGGCTAACACTTTTTGCTTTCGGTTATTTCTTCAGATGGTATTGAAACAGCATTTACTGCCTACAAGAGTCAGAATACAGGGTATGTTTCTCTTCTGAAGTGCTTGGTGAACCACCAAATGCAGTGAGTCATTTAAAACAATACTCAAAGAGAAATTCAGAGGACTGAGGTCTGATTAATTTCACATAAACAAATGTGCAAATAAAAATTCACTAAGTGTAGATCAACAGCTTCCCTCCCTCTAAGTTTGTCTTTTCAAGGGAGCTGTCAGTACTGCAGCCTTTACACTACCTCTAAACACCCACCAGATGCCTCAGGACACAACAGCAGCAGATTAGCAAGACAACTTTCTGTCGTTTTACATCATGCAGCAAATTCCTGTATTTTCTTCATGAAAGCAACTTACAAATACACAGCAAGACGACATCTCATTTGCTATTTAGTTTTCTAACCACGTGCAAAGCCAATAAGCATTTATTTTCTGCATAGAAGAATGCAGCAATGACAACAGCTTGTAACTGTGTGATTCCTAGAAAGAACAGCTTAAGAACTAACAAACCTGCAGAGCTAACAGGCTGTCCAGTCAGACCAACAGAGCCCTCAGTGGTTGTGACAGTTGGCAAGATGCTAAATTCTGCCTACCAGTTCAGACTTCACCTCCAGTTGTTTTGTGTAGCTGCAGCAGGCAGCCTTACTCTGTCTCACCTTCCCAAGTGAATCCTTCAGCTTAAGGAATCATGTTCTGATCATGTGACTAATTTGAATTATTGCAAGCTAGAGTAGAATTGCTTCATAAAGGGAAAGAAAACCATCACATAAGTTTATTGTTAGGTGCTTCAAATGCTCATTAACATTTATACTTCCCTGACAGGTCTTCTCCAAAGTCTCCAAACGACTTCAGAAAAAAACCTCTAGGTCATTATCCACAGCTCCAACCTAAATGCTGAATGAAAAGAAAGGAGACCACCACTCTTTCCCCCTTAAGGAGAAGCCTTAGCCTCCTTACTGTCATCTCCTGCAGTTGGGCTATGAGGAACTCTGAGCTTACTTAGGATCAAAGAAAACAGACCTTAGCTACGTGGGCTTTTTTGCTTTACAATTTGAACAGGCAATCCTGTGATTTTTAGAGTCTGGAAAGAACTCAGGGTGATGGAGAAACTTCTGATGCCGAACCAGAGACCTAGGCATATTTATAGGAAGGAACAGTTCCAAGCACTTCTGCAGTACTAGACAACCAGTGCTTTGAACACAGGAAGAACTATGCAGTTGCCGCTCCATTACAAACCTCATTTCTCTGCCTTATCGGAAGAGCAGCTTACATACTGAGTAACATAGTAGTTGTTGATAACTGCAGGAGACTGCTGGCTAGTCCTCATCCCAGGGATCTGGGTGGGGAGGGAGGAGAAGACCTGGCTACAAAACTAGCTTGTTACAGAATATAAACTTAAGGGGACCAATCCAAACTGTTAATGATTTGCATCCAACTACATTTAACTTTTTCTATCAGTCAGATGAATGCAGTTTCTACTGCCTGAACTTTGTGTCTGTAAACACCGACATAGAAAGCAACTCAAATGATGCTAGCATGCATATGGCGGGGCCAGCCCTAGATCCTGTGGAACTTTTGCTCTACTCCACATCTATCTAGAAACCACTGGCCCTACCCTAGACCTCCTTAGGGCTGGAATATAAGATCATCAGCAGTCATTCTTTCTGCAGCCAGGGAGCTCTGTACAGTTTTAAAAATCTACTGTTAGCTTATATATAGTTTTCTATGTGACGAAAACACTTTCTAAACACCACTGACTAGGGTAAGCATTTAGGGTTCCCTTTAAAACAGAGGGAAATGGCCAGCTTTTTGAAATACCTGCCTTTTTGATAAGCTGCAGCCTGAACGCCATGTTAAGGTATGCTTGTTAATGAACAGGGCTTCACACAGCTTTCTCAGCTGATCAAAGCAGAACAATAAAATACAGGGAGTATATTCTATCGAAAACTACCGGGAGTCAAAGAAGGCAACAAAGAGGAGAAAGAACTGCAAGTTTACAGCCCACAGCAATAAGGGAGCTGACACCACTTTTCTATTAATGCATCCTGTCAGTAGTTTTTCCTTAACTTCTGTCTACTGGAAGAAATGACAAAGAGAATGGAAAACTTGGAAAACAGGCTAAAATACTGACCAACATTTGGAGGCTGTACTACCCTGTATATTTATACATGCAAACTCATCAAGAGCTATTTTCTTAAACTGGTCCTAAGAAAAATAACAAATCCTTATGTCTGAAGTTGAAAATATTTTGGATCCCTGCATCTATATATGTGTTCTGTCTTGCATTGATTGCAGATTAAAAAAAATTGAAAATTTTATATATATAAATGATTTAGTAACCAGCAAAAATTCTAACTAAGCAGAACTAAACTGAAGTAAGCTATGCAAAACAATAAAATGCTGTTATTTTTTGAAGTGAAACCTCTATGTTTCGAAGTACTTTTAGGGTATGATTTATTTGGCTTACTTTTCTCTATTTCTCTCCTCCACTCACTCTACTAGTATTTTAAGCATCCCTGTTTGTATGGATATATACAGTTTTATATATATAAACAGAGAAGTGGGACAGCATTCTCAGCAATTAGGTTTCACAGTCTTCAAACATCAGTCGACTACTGAAACCAGCTGTTAAGTAAAAATACAAATTCATGTTGAAACTGTGCTGAAAGTGGGAAGTCTGCTGGATTATCAAGGTATCATATGAGGTTTCAAGTACTTTTACCACATCCAGACCATGTAACTTCTCTCTGCTGTTCCTTGCTCAGCATTAACTTTCCTAAATGCAACTAGTATTTTACTAATGAAGACCTTTTCTGAGCAATACAACTAGCTGCAGGCCTGTTTGTGCTTAAGAAAAATGAAAACAGTAAACTGCTTCCAGCCATACTGGCCAACTGAAGTGCCTGAAGTTTCACTCCTTCCCCTCTGCAGCCAAGGCATGCTTCCACTTTACCATCACACTAACAGCCACATCTAGATTTCACATAGCAGTATCTAAGCTATCTTGAACTGATCCAAATCTGTAGTTTAACAGGTAAAGACACCAGCGCTTCCACCTTTGCTCTGACACACACTGGTTTGTCTGTTATCTCCAAATGGAAATACACAGCTTCATCCATTCTGTACCTGAAGTAGTTGCAGCAAAACTAGACTAAGTGATCTCAGATAGGCTCATGAGCATGCATGGATACAAAGCAACAAGTTTTAAAAGGTACCTTGTGCTTTGCCATACTTTGGCCAACAAACGCAAGTTCTGCAAGGATAGCGGTACATACTGGTTTTCACTAGGTGTTTCTTCTACTGCATGTCAGCAAAACACTGGCACCTCAGTGATCAGTAACAAGGTCCTGCAGTCATGATCTCACACAAAATGGGCACAAATCTGTAAGACAGCAGAGTCCTCAGCAACAGTGACTTGAAGATGTTCTTAGAGACAGACAAGTTTGTATTCAAAATGTTAAAAAGGTGACCAATTTAAAATCAGCTTTGAGAAGTTAATTGACATATTCTCTTGGAAAGAAAGGAAAAAGGGTAACTTGCATTAGTACTTTCTGACTGACTTGGGAGTGGGAATTTTTCAAATTGTTAAGTAAACTGTATGAGATCCCCCACCAACATCTCACATCTGCTTGTACCTCACATTATGCCTTGGTTTTGCATTAACACTCCAAACCCCAAAACCAAGTAAGTCCTAGCTTGCTGGTATTTGGCACCATACTTCCCATGATTACATCCTCCTCCACTTACCTCTTGAGACCCACAACTTCTAGAGAAAGAAACAGGCAAGTTTTGTCCTGTGAAGGTTATTTCTAACAGAACAGGAAACAGCAGTGGTAATGAGTCTTCATTTATATAGTTTGTGCCCTAAAACCAACAATGTTGTAATACAAATTTTTCTTAAAATGGATCTGTAACCAGTTTTATTGTAGAAATAACTCTTTACAGCATTTACTTCTCGCTGGTTTGTTCTGGCATGCTTCTGATGATGTCAGAGTCACCTGTAAGACAGAAATACATTGTTACAAGAGGACCCACAGCAAGATCTGTTTTCAGAAGTAAGCCAAAACCAACCACAAATACCTGAACACACTGATTCTACAAACAGAAAACAAGTTAAAAGCAATACAAAAACAGTTTGTTCAGGGGGAAAAAAAATAATCTGATGGCTTGGTAAGAAATACTTGTAACTGTATTTTGCTAATCCATATGCAATACTTTTACAATAATTATGTATGTCACTAGCATTTATAAAGCCAGTACTAGAACAGCAATCTAGTCCTGGAGGACACAGTGCATAGTTTTAATATAGCGAATGTCCAGCCTGCCCTGATCACGACAGTATCAGGACAGCGAGAATATTCGCATTACATTACATAGCAATAATATTTACTTGCAGTTCCCACCCACTCAAAAATCAAACCTGGAAGTAACATTTTGAAAGCAAAATTTACAGCTAGTACTTGCATACAAGCAAGCTAAATGAAGTTTTCTGAAGAAACAGCAAATTCAAAACAATTTCACTTGGGGAGCATTTGGTGTAAGTGATTACAGAAATCATTAAATACGTATGCATACATTCTGATCAACAAACAAGAAGAGATTGATTCTTCTCTTCAAGGATTCTGGAAAGAGGATGAGAAGTCACCTCATTAGCAGTCTATATGAGGAACGTGAACACCTCTCTGGGACAAAATCTGCTACCAAACCAGAGTAACTACAGACTTCCAGTTTCAGTAATCCATCACATCTGGATCAGTACCACCTACATATAGGTTATTTTTATATAATCATTCTGGGAAGCAGGAAAATTCACATTCCTTTACCTTACATTGAGAACAGTCAACAGGCTGATATAAGCAGCATGTTGCACCAGCTCATATTCTAGCTGATGGGCTCAGAAACACCATAAAGTTGCTTCCCAGCCACTGAACCCTCATTACAGACCAAAAGGTAAACAAAACTGAGGCTCACATGTTTTAAGCATTAAAAGGAGCGTAGTGCAAACATAAGCAGCAGAAATTCCAGATTCTAAGAACCTAGGACTCACGAACAGTATCTTGGTTAAGAGGAAATTATGAGTTAAACCTGACAGACAGTTCAGCAAAGTGTGTCATCACACCTACATGTCAGCTGCTCAGTGCTGCTATTCATGGGTGAACAGAGGAACCATCAATACATAATCATTTGGTCACTGTACTGTAGGAGAGACATACCTGGGTCAATGATAGCCAGTGTGCACACTCTGTAGTATTTCCCACATGCTGTGCCCAGTTCAATGTTGTTGCCGCTATAGTGGTGGACGCCAGTCTTTGCAAGCATAGCGTAGTACTCAATCTCTGATTTTCTGAAATTCAAACACTAGTGTTACAGTACTGACACTACTCACCCTAAAATACAGTGAGAGCAGCTTTAACTCCCACCGCTTAAACCTTACACAGTTTTCCTTCCCACCCATAAAAACATTTGTTCCTTGCCAGACATCCTCTGGCTCAAGAACCCTTATCCAGAAGTATGCTGAAGGTATGAAACCACAAACCCACTTCTGGAGTGCAAATCCTTGAGGCTCTTCCTACATATGCTCATTTCTACAGGAAAGAAAAAGATTCAGAAGTTCCAGACTTCCAAAAGAGCTAAGCCAAAGTGCACAAACTACGACCATTATTACCATATACCCAGTGGCCACATGCCAAACAGAGGTCTGGCTGCAGTTAGCTAGGAAAAACAGTATTTTTTCTTAATAATTAAAAAAAAAAAAAATTCAACTTATATTCCCTTCTCTCCTGACTTCCAGCAGGAGACTCTAGTGGTCAATACTATTCCTCAAGCACTTTTGGGATCCCCACTAAAAGACTGCCTACTGCAACAGTCCTGCCATTTGGCAAGCATCTGATACTGGCTTTCTGCATTTACAGTTTCTTAAATCTGTTGGATTAAACCTTGATGGCAACAAGGGCCCATAAATTCTACGAGAGATGTCACGAAGTCAGTAAAGATATGATTCTCAAAAAAGCAATTTCACTGGCCAGGAACCTACATTTGTAACTTTGACAGCAAATTTTGTGGCCTTCAGATACTTTAAATCAGTGTAAATCACCAGTTTTCCTACCTGCAACATTATTTCCCATCACATTCCTATGAAAAAAACTCACAGGAATTCAGCCCCATTATACTTTCAATGACTACTACCAGTGTGAAAAGCTTCCAGTATTCTTACTAGTCTGAACTCTGAACTGGAAAGCTAAAAAAGTGTTAGGAAGCATTTCAACACGTCCAGACCTGAAACTGCCATACACCTAAACAACCCATCACTTTTACTTCATAGCAGTCTGGAATATGCTAGCAAAGTACTCTGCATCAGAACTCACAGGAGCAATTAGCATGAAGTATACTCTGTATTTGCGCCAAGAACCCGTCTTAAAGAGTTTTTTCATACACGTGCTTACCTCAAAGCAGGGCAGTTGTTGGCTAGGATGACCAACTTGGCTTTGCCCTGACGAATCATTTTCAGAGTCTGTTTGTATCCTAGTACATATTTACCACTTTTCATAACCAGCTGAAGCCTAGAGTTTATGGACTCTAGGGACTTTTTCTGAAAGAGATATAGAAAAGCATTATTGTATGTTACTTTATAAAGTAAACATACATAAGAAAATTAAAACATTCCAAATACAAGCAATCTGATTCTACGACTCTTAATGATTTCCCTGTAACTTGCAACGCATAGTAAAATCCAGCCTACCATAAAAGTATGAGAAAGTTTGTGCGTAAGGAGGTCGCTGATGCTTTACTCCCAGTTCCATAAAATTATCTCCTACTGACGTATCTTACAATACGTAAATTCATGTTAAAGCACTGTTGCTGATATTTATCTTAACCACGTGTATTTGACAGGCCTTTATCAAAGCTCAACTAGTCAAGTCCAAGTAAATACACCTTCTGGCTTCCAAATCTAAGGTTTGAACTATTCTTCCTTGGGCACACGCTAATAGTGCAATACTGGTTAGCAGAAACAAGCAATGGCAGGCAGTAAGAGCTGATGCTCCCAGAGAGCATGGTGCTCATGACAACAAATAAGTGCATTTGCAAAGATGAACATCTAACAACCACTACCTAACTAGAACACCATGCTTGTCAGAGTCGCTCTGAAAGAAAGACAAGAGCATGGCAGGAAATGCAAAAGCTGCTCTCCATCCACAGTAGGAACTCAGCACCAGCTCCCCCTCCCTCCAGCCAGCACCGAGGTCCCGTGAATAACCCGGGATACTGCAGAGGAGGGAACCGGGGACAAAGTCACCGGTGGGAGACGGCCGCAGGGCGCGGCTGGGGCCTGTGCGAGGCCAGGGCCCGAGCTGCGAGGGCCGCGATCAGCGCCTCCAGCTATGTCCATGCCCCCGCCCCAACCTATGCCCAATGCACTCCGCCTCACAGCGCCCAGAACCGCCGGCCCGGCCCGCTCAACGCCATCCGCCGCCACAGACCGGCCCGCTGCCCCCACGTGAGCCGAGCCCGGCCCGGCCCAGCCCGGCCCGCTCACACTCACCGTCTTCTTCGCGGCCACCATGTTGCTGCCTCGCGTCGGGTCGGGTGGTACCTAGAACACAAGGGGTACGGAGCAGGAATTACCACCCAGGAGCGGCCCACCGCCCCCGCCCGCACCACCTCGGCCGAGCCGCACTCACCAGAGACGCGCCGCCAAGATGGCCGGGCAGACGAAAAGGAGCGAGCTACCGCGGCGCACCACGCTTCCCCGCACGGCAGCTCTCGCGAGAGCCGCGCACAGCTGACACGCATCTCCCTCCGGCTGCCAAGGCGCCTGCGCTGAGAGGCCAGCGCGGGCGGGGTTAGGGAGTTGTGTTGTGACAGGAGGAGGTAGCGTTATGGTAGCTGCCGGGTGGCCTCCGTGAGCTCCCGCTTTCCCCAGGCTCCCGTGTTTCACAGAGCGAGTCTGAACTCCCTTTTCCCCGTCACGGCCGTAAGGGAGACTTCAGGAGCTAAGGAAGCCACTTGCAGGGATTGTCCCAAGTGCCCGGAGCTTCCCGTTCACTGTGGGGCTGTCACTTCTGCCACAGGGTTGATGTGGGAAATGACGGTTTAGGGAAAACAAATTTTCTCTGGCATCACAAGCCACTGGAGCGACAGACACACATGCCGGTCTGGCTCCGTGTTTCCCTTACGTGAGTGTTGAGTACGCTGGCTTTCTGTAAATCAGCAGTGCCTTAGTTTCACCAGGCCCAGTATTGTCTGCCTGCCCCAAATTCTGCACTGCGGTCATAAATAAACTGTCCCGATGAGATACAGGCTGGATTTCAAACGTGAAGTATGACACTGAGCTTGGAAACGGCTCAGGGCCCAAGGCTGTGCGGTGGCCTTGGCCCATGCCAGAGCAGCTCAGTCGTCTGCTGTGCTGGAGTCATGGTGCAGGGAAACCTCTTCCTGCCCCCCTTGGGCTCTGGAGCTTGCTATAAACATGGCTATGACATAAGGTTCTCAGTTTCAGCCTAAGAAGAGTTGTGGTCAATCCCATGGTGGTGTCCAGCCTAGGACAGACACCCATGTTGGTGCAGTGAGCAGCAGCACAGCACCCGTTCAGCTGGCACCTGCTTGTGATCAGCAATGTCAGTGTTTAAGAGTTTCTGGGGACTCCCTGTGACACACACACACCCCCAGGAGGAGGCCTGGGGGTCCACCCACAGGACAGCAAGTATTCTGCTGATACCACGCTGCTCTTAGGACACACTGCACCAGAAGGGCACCCCAGTGTATACCTTTCTTATTAAATTACAGCTTTTCTGGACTTGCCTGGGTTAACAAAGCATGGGGGAGTGTGTTGTGCTTGATGTACTTGTTGCCTTTAGGAATTTTGATGCTTTTGCCTGTATGGGATATGTAGCAACAAACTAAAAAGCCAAGCCAAAACACGTTGTATTCTCTTATTCTAGTATGTTTACATTAATAAAGCTTACTTCAAATAAGGGAATAATCTATAGCAGTATACTGTCATGCCTTTCTAATGGTATGGCTACCTCCACACTCAATTTCTTCTGCTCTATGTTAGAAAAAATATCACCAAACTTAAGTGGAGCTTAAATATCCCAGATGAAACTCAAGCATTGGTCCATCGCTAATGGTCCACTGGGAATAATTTTTAGATTAACCATACAGAAATAATACATGTACTATATAAATAATAGCATAAAAACATTACATTTCGGTGTGTCTCTGTAGTCCAGTTTCATTTACTGAAACAAAATAATTTTCAGCCCTTTACAGAGTATACTTAATTTTGAAGTGTACTTCAAACTTTTATTTTCTTTGGCAGCTGAAAATTAAATGCCATTTCACATCTCTTTTTCTTATTCCTCTTTGCCCCAGCACTGAGGTGCATTGCTGATATTCCTACCATCAGATTGTGACTTTACTTTTAATTCTTTGAATTTCTACCTGGTTGGTTGTGGTCAGGTGAAACATTCATCCTTTCTTGTTGCTTGTCGAAATTACTGGGAAGAGAGCATAAAGCTCAGTGAACCTCGTGAAGTCTTCAGCACGGTTCCTTTCAACTCTACCGTTTTATGTAGTCTTGCAGTATGTGGGAGCTGTGCCCGACTCCGGCAGAGGGAGCTGTTGTCAAGAGCACCTTTGCAGCCTCTGCTCAAGTTAGAGAGAATGCAATACTGCTCGTAAGAGTTTATGAAACTAATTCTTCCCAGTGATGTGGATTTAAAAAACAAAACCCTCTATTTCCTAAAGAACTTTTTGACAGATACTTTCGTTATTGAACCCCAAATTGCAGAAACGAGCACTGCTGACTCTTACCCTCAGATCACCTTTCTGTGGCCATGAAGGCCTCTCCTGGGGGTCTGTGGTCCATAAAATGTCCTTTAGGTCAGTCCAAGGCAGATGACAGTAACACTAAACAGAAGAAAAGGCTTTGGCCCCACAAAATTTTCTTAAACAATATTATACAGCCACTGTTCGTTAAAAATCAGCAGCTGGGAGTGGCTGGGTGTTTACAATGCAGGTGTTTGGGAATTGAAGCATGGGGGAAGGCCCAGCAGACACCAGCCAGTTTTGCACCCTCCACAAGTGATACTGAGCTCCCCTCTGTGATGAGGCAGTGATACAGCAGAAATAAAAGAAAGGGAGGGAAGAAGCAGACAGTGTCTCATCTTCAACAAGCAAGTCTCAAGATGGAGAGATCCAGGGAGCAGCTGGCAATCTCAGGGAAAGCAGTGTTACTTCTCCCAGCACTAACAGCAGATACCGTGGCCACATCCAGCTTTCCTGCCTGCCCTGCCAGCAGTGCTCAGCCAGAGAGATGAACTCCTTCACAAGCTGAGTCGGGTATTACTCTGGCTCAGGGGCTCTGCAGGCTGGTGCTGGTTTGGCAGGGAGGATACACATGCAGGGGATCGAGAGTACGTGGGGAAAGTAGGGCTGCTCCTTCTCCCTTACTGCTTTTCCCACCGTGGCCTCTCTGCGCTTGCCTAGTAAGAGGGCAGGGGTAGGGTTTCCAACAGAGAGGCAGATCATTTCATTCCAACCTGGGGAGTGGTGGTCTTGAAGGAGGTCTCTCACCACCCTCTCCCCTTCCTCCCCCCCCCCCCAAAAAAAATGGTGAAGAGACTGTGTAAGAAAGCTGCAGTTTAAGAAAGTGAGAGCACTGCGAGTAATGTTATTGGTGGAGCGTTGACCTATCCCAAAAACTCGACAGCAACTTCATCATTTTGGGCTTGGAGAAAAACGAAACCAACCCATTGTGTCTGAGACATTCTAACTGACCTAGAAGATGGGAAATATCTAAGATCATAACACAGCCTTATTTTCTTTGAGTCTGGACATGCGATCACAGATTCCTAAATCATGACTGGAGTAACAGTAACAGTTTAATGGCCACCCTTCAGCTGGCACCATAACTTCGTGATATATCGACCTCAGTAGAGATAACAGCTGAAGGAATTCCCAAACTGAGCTTTTGTTTTGCTTTGTTTTTTCCTCACAGTTGTTTTTAAGTCAGGTCAGTGCTTCCTTTGATGTTCTGCCAGAGGTGGAAACATGCAGCTAGAGAGGAGGATATGAAAGGGTAAGGCAGGGAGCTTCCATGGCAGCACCAACACCAATGTATCAGTCAGAAAACAACAGTGCAAGCCACGGTAGACAAGATTCAATTCAAAAAAGACAACTGACCTTTTGAAAAGCTGGTCCTGCCTCTTTATTTTACCAGTATGCCCAAGGCATACTGTTTTGATAGGCTAAAACCCTGCAAAAATATAGTCCTGTTCTTTCTTACATTTTTAGTCCCACCAGAATCTCTTCACAATTACACAATAAGGTTGTGTGAACACCTGCAGCCATTATTTTCTCCTTTTGCACTTGTCAGAGCTATTAGAAGCGACAGACTGTTCTCTGATAATGATCACATTTACATCAAATGCAGACATGTTCATCTGATTTTCACAGGGTCATGCACTGAGCTGTCCCCTGTATTGTCAGGCAGACGAATGCAGCTCTTTGTTTCAGATCTCTGGGAAGTTGGAATCCCAGTAATGCACAGGTCCAGTGGGTCTGGATGCAAACCTCTCCAGATACCTTTCCTTCCAGTAGCTTTCTTATAGGAAGGAAGGAAAAGAACTGTAGAGGAAAATTGGCCAAATGCAGAAAGGTTATCTCATTAGGGAAGAGGGAGAATCTTCAGGTTAAATACTGTACTGTGAATACCTCGATATCTGCAAACAGTGGATATATTTTCAGCCAGTAAAAGGATGCTAAGGAGTATGTGTATATGTATATAAACACATACATTTGTATACCTATATGTGTAGCTAGCTTAAATAGCGTGCTAGTACAAGATACTGTAGTTTCTAAGGGCCAAATTGTGCAGAAATCCACAGGTGTAGATTTCTAAAGATAGTAATTAGTCTCATAAGAAGATCTGCAGATTCCTTCTTTTCCAGAAATTACAAGCTATGTCTGAGGAGCTAAGTGTCAAGGTCATTGTTATTCCAGGCAAAACAAGCCTGGCAGTTGCAGAAGGCAGTTAGAGATGCTGCAGTTCATAGATCAACATCACAGAGCATCCTTCAGTTTGCAAATTCCATCAAATTTTGCAAATTTGATGTTCCTTCAGTCTGTAAATTTGCATCAGTAGAATGTTTGGCCTGAATTATCTGTCACAATAAACAACACAGAATATTTTATTTCCTGGTCAGTACTGGTCTTTCTGCACAAAACAGAGCTGAGAAAAGGAGGCACAATTTTCAAAGGAAACTTCATGATTAATATAATTCTTTGAAAAGTCTACTGTGATTTGGAAAGCCCCAGGATTTGGGTCTGTCAGAAAGAAGGCATAAATTTAATAGCTGCAGTAGGAATCATATCTAAAATATTAAAAATTATGAACAGCAAGTGAGCTCTGGAATGAGTGAAACAAGTTTGGTCACATGGTAGTAGCTAGGACCTCACAGAAATCTTTATGATGTTTGCTTTTGGAAGTGCATTTCTCCTTGTTGTATAAGAGGACACAGGTTATTTGTTTTGCTTTACCTACAGCTATCCCTGAACACTCCCTGTTTACATTTTATTTTACTTTCCCAACTTACATTCCTGAATAAAATAGTTTTCCTTGGCCTGACCCAGAACGTGGCAATACAGCCCATACACTGAGGTGCAGCCTTGTCCTATCATGGTACTTCCTATGTCCAGCTCAAGCACAGCCTCTGTTGTATCCAGTCTTTGTGCTGAAAAAATGCAACTTCTTTGCTCCTGGGAGAAGGGAAGACAATTATTTAG